TTGGTAAGTTTTTTTTATATTTTTCTTAAAAAACTACTAAATGGTCGTATAATATGCAAAACGTAAATTTAGACTTTTTGAAAAATGTTTAAATCATAATTTTGGCCAATTTATTTTTACTATACTAAGCCTCGAGATTTGGTTAATAGAAAGCTAAACCTTTCTACATGCCAAATCTGGATTCTGAAGTAATGTTTTTTAGCCAAAATTGTGTTTTAGCTCTTGTTGATAAGATCTTTTCAAATTTGCCATTATTGAATTAAAACTTCAAATTTTTGGATAACTGGTAAACCATTAAATTATACCAATTTATATAAAGAAAGAGATTTCATAAATATGATATTGCATAACATGTTTTTCGTAATTGTCCAAGATTTCAAAATAAAATTGGATTGATTTAAGGATATGAAAAAATTTAAACAATAAGATAAAAATTTTGAGATAACCTTGAGTTAAGAGTATTTCTAAGAAATTAAAGAAATTTTTAAATAATAATTAAACTTTATGTAAATCATTGAATTTTATAGTTAACAAATTAAAAATAATCCTTAATATTTTTTCAAAGATTTTTTTAAGGTCTACTATTTTTTATAATAATATGTATATAATTTATATGTATAATAAAATAATTTTTCTCCCTCTACACATATTAAATAAATGAACTACAAACGATTATTTACTATTTCCTTAGTCATGATGATATTATTAAGTGTTATGATTGAAGCTGATATTGTAGATCCTGCAGTAAATGAGGCGGGAGATGGAAACGAATTTAGTTTTAGAAGTAGCTTATATAAATCTAATATTTTATTTTCATTTGTGTTCAACTGTTCTAAAAGTTTGAATTTGAAATATTTTTTTTCAAATTTATGACATAGCTTAAATTATTTTTTTTTAGCAAAAGCAAATTATTTTAAATTCTATATGAATCGATACCTATTACTAACTTTATAAAAGCTCCTTATAATTTTTAAAAATATGATCATATTTTTTAAATTTTATTTTTTGAAAAGTAAAAATTTTTGCCCAAAAACCCCCCAAGAGAGGGGTAAAGAAAACGGTTCCACGTCCTTACAGAGAAACCATTACAGAGAAATCAATTACAGAGAAACTTTTACAGAGAAAACAATTAAAGAGAATGTCGTTTAAAGAGAATTTTTTTATAGAGAATTATTTTATAGAGAATGTATTTTACAGAGAAACTTTTACAGAGAAAATTTTACAGAGAAAATTTTACAGAGAAAATAATTAAAGAGAATGTCGTTTAAAGAGAAAACAATTAAAGAGAATGTCGTTTAAAGAGAATTTTTTTATAGAGAATTATTTTATAGAGAATGTATTTTACAGAGAAACTTTTACAGAGAAAACAATTAAAGAGAATGTTTTTACAGAGAATGATTTTATAGAGAATGATTTTATAGAGAATGATTTTATAGAGAATGATTTTATAGAGAATGATTTTATAGAGAATGATTTTATAGAGAATGATTTTATAGAGAATGATTTTATAGAGAATGATTTTATAGAGAATGTTTTTACAGAGAATGATTTTATAGAGAATGATTTTATAGAGAATTTCTTATAAAATTTTATTTAAAGAATATGATACATTATAAAAAATGTTAATCTATATAATATATAACATTTTTATATAAATTTGTGTAATTATTACTTAGGGTGTGCATATTGTTTTTCTGGCCAGTCAAAACATAGTATGTATTGACTGGCCATATACTATGTGTTAACTTTTATTATAAATATTAAATATTTCCATATGTATGAAATACTTACAAAAGACCAATCTTACATCTCAATTTACCATCATTTATTTAATACATTAATATCTTACTTATCTTTTTGTTAAACTTTCTTAAATTTGTTCATCATTTGAAATAAAGTGAGTTTTTTAGAAAGAGATACTAATTTTGAAAGAAATCGGTCCAATAGATAAAATTTAATTTTTTTATATCATTATATTTGGTAGCATTAAAATAGAGTAAAATTGACACAATGCAAAACTCTATTTTTGAATTTCAGAAAGTTTTATAATCTTATATCATGTTTAAATAAAATTTTCGAAGTTTACAAATTTTAAATTATAGATGTGACACACGGATAATCTATTCTTTAGTTAAAAGATATTTGTCAAGAAGCGACAAACCTTAATCGTATACCTCTATGTGGTTATCAAAATATTTTTATGGCAGTAAAAGTGTTTATCAATTGAAAACAATCTATGTTATGTTATTCTATATAAACGACATTCTCTATCATTGTTTTCTCTATAAAAGTTTCTCTGTAATTGTTTTCTCTATAAAAGTTTCTCTATAATTGTTTATTTTGTAAATGTTTGTCACTAAAGACCATTTTAGAATATTTTAAGTAATAATTTAATTATTTTTTTAAGTGATAATTTAATTATTTTTTTAAGTAATAATTTAATTATTTTCTTTTTAAATTTTGATAAATTTTTTTTAAATTATGGCGGAATTTATTTTAAGTAGTCGAAACAATCTGTTACTACTTCTTGATTTTTACTTATTTCAAAAGGAAAAAACATCTAACCAAACAACCTATTGGAGATGTATTCAATTCAATGTGGACGAATGCAGTGGACGAATGCAGTGGACGAATGCAGTGGACGTGCAAGAACTAAGAACGGAATCCCTATATTCCACAATCATAAACATAACCATGTACCAGACATTGCAGATATTGAAGCAAGAAGAGAGCTAAATAGAATTAAACAAGTGGCTTCTAGTTCCCAATCTCTGCCCAATAATATAATAGCCGATATAGTTTACAGTTAATTATCACTTGAAGTAATCTATTTTATTTTGACATAGGTTTCAAAATTAGAATGGTAAATAAATTTTAATCTAAATATAGGATCGGTTATCATATCAATTTTGTACGAATATCAAAAATATCAAATTGGTGATTGTAAAATTGAGTGTTTGAGCACCATAGTAGAAGATTGAACCGAAGGTTGAAGATTGAAACAATAACATAATTTAAGGTTTCATATATTCATTTCCATTCATTATAAAATAATAAATTATTAATAAACTAAAAGATACAAAAATTCTTTACCCAATAACATGTGAAAATTTTATAAATCGAAATATACTCATTTACATAGTCTATCTTAAAACATTTTTTTTTTATAATAAAGAGATACATTTGAATGGTATATTCACTTGACTGGTAAATTCAATTCTTAGATATATGTATATTAAATTATCACTTGATGAAAATAATTCAGAGAGGACCATGTGAATTTTAGAAAAAAGAAGAATAAAGGATAGTAATATTAGCCGAACTTAGATTTATAATTATAGAAACTAAAAAAAACAGAAAACAAAATCCTCTCTTAAAATCATTATTGAGTTATGTTTATCGCGTAATGCTTTAACAAATATCCATATAATAACAAAATACACTAAAAATTAAATGATTCGAGTTATATATATATTCACAACTAAGTTGTATAACGAGATCAGAAATTTTATAGCTAAAAATTTTATACTTCTTGATCTTCTGTTTGCAAAGCATGATATAATATCTAAGCTATTTAATCGTTTAAGTGGTTTAAAAATGTCGTAAGGAAGAAGACAGAATGCTTTGTAAATTATCTGAAGTGTTAAGAGAGTTGTAAGAAAAACCAGGGCTATATTGTCCATTAAAAACTGAACTGCTATTAAAAAATAGAAGATGTAAATTTTCCAAAATTTTTAAAGTAGTTTTATACTTTACATAGATCTTACTGTAGAAATTAATATTTAAAAAAAAATCTTTAAGTTTGTTATTAATATAAAAATTAAATATTTAAGAATTATGATCCTTTAGCATTGAGTGTCATAAGCGCTTCCTTCTTTTTTTATTTTATAAAAAAAAAATTATTTAAAAGTGTTAGTTCTACTCTTAGCAGTAAAATATTACTAGACTTACTTAAGCACCATATTAAAATACATATTTGACTTAAATTTCAAATCTCAAAGTCTATTATTATAAAAATAATTTGAGAAGAAATTACCTGCCCCGGGATAACACTATTCCCGGTCTCTACTGACTTTATAGCTTAATCGAGCAACATGTTTGAAAAAAATTTATCAAGGATAATTTTTCTTTGTGATCGAGTAGGAAAAAATTGTTTTTTAGTTCATCAATTTAACAATATCGGAAAAGATTTTTTTTTCTCTTAATTATAAGCAAACTAGCGGTGAAAAAAATCCATAAACCCGTTAATTTATGCATCTTTCTAGAATTATCACGGCATTCTTTAATAGTGTCGCTTTGCATCACCATGCTTACAAGATTTACCCCTACAAGAAGATAATATGATACTAATGTAACCAAAACAAAACAAACTGCAATTCTTTGGATGGGGTTTTTTTTATTTTTCTGAAAAACTACTAAATCGTTGTAAGGCCGAGAATCGTAATTTCGACGCGTTTTGAAAAATTGCTGAATCAAAACAAATTCTTTTTTACCATAACCTCCAGATTTGATCCAAATAAACAACCTTTTTGCCAACGATATGCGAAATCTGGATTCTTAAGTAGTATTTTTAGCCAAAATGTGTTTTAGCTCTTTTTTTTTTTATAAAACCTTAACTTTAGGTTTGTAAAGCACTCTTAAATAGTAAATTTACATTACCCCAAGAGTTTCAGATAATGGTTTAATTATAAATTGTTAATATGATCTTTTATTTAATTGTTAGAAATAAATTGAAATTACTCTATCTAATCATCTTTTAAGAAAATAAAATAATATTGATTTCATAAATATGACAATGCATGACAAGTTTTATTTAATTATCCAGGATATCAAAATAAAAAAAAAGTGATATAAGGAGATGAAAAAATTTAATAAGATAAAAATTTTGAGATAGCCTTGAAAGAGTATTTCTTTGAAAATAAAAAGTTTTAAAGTATTAATTTGACACATTGATGTGAATCATGAAATTTTACAGTTGCCAAATTTTAAACAATTGAATTATTTATATATATAAAAGAGTCAAAATAATAAATTAACCTTTTTTAAAAATTTGAATTATCTTTTCAAAGAAATTACTAAGGTATGCTATTTGTTATAATATATCTATATGGTTTATTCTTTACAATTTAAATATTTTTCTTAGATATCATTTATAGATCTTCAATAAATGAACTATAAACGATTATTCGCTATAACCTTTATCATGATGGCCTTATTAAGTGTTATGGTTAAAGCAGATATTGAGGAGAATACACCCACACCTAGAATAGATAGATTGAGAACTAGTATTTATCTAAAAAATTTTATTTTATTTATTTTTCAAATTTGGGGATATCTTATATTTTTTTTAAAAGCTGATAATCTTAAATTCATTTAAAAAAAATTATATTTATATTAGCTAGGGGAGACTGGGGACAGTCAAACTATTGCAAAATTAGCTATAACTCTTTTGTTCTGCTTTATAAATATTTTTATCATAATCATATATTTAAAATTTCGAAAAGTTAAAATAATCAAGAATAAATTTATATCTCTTTTTTATTGAAAGACCATAAAATGTTTTGCTATGGATTTGACACTTTATAGTTCTTTCTTCTTCATCTGTGAAATCTCTTAAATATTTGGTTTACATTTACACTAATAAATGAGCTGGTTTCATAATATCTCTTCAAAAATATATAAATAAAAATAATTTTTTAATTTCTTTATCATTGCCATTTAGTTATTATTTAATATAACTAATATTTCATTAAATTATATAAAAATACTTAATACCTTAGTATTTAATATTGCTAAAATTTGATATAAAAATTACTTAATACCTTAATTTAATATTGTTAAAATTTGATATAAAAATGATATAAAATTTTTATTATATCTCAAGAATAAGACAGATTGTGTACTGAATGAGCTAGCTAGTCTAGTGGCTCATGTTCAGTCTTTATATATTTTTATAGTATCCTAATTATAATATGAATTTGTCAAATTTTAACATAATTTTAGATAATTTTTAATATAAAATGTAGGATCATATGTCATTTAATTGGATTTGTAATTTTACATATCCAGTAATCTATAATTAAAAAAAATTTATTAAAATTAACTGATGTGCATGGTATAGCAAGCCTCAATCTTTAAATTTACAAATCATGATTGAAATTTTCTAGACAAAATAAATACTCTATAAAATTTTATTTATATATAAATTATTATATAACTTAATAAAAATTAAAATTCTGGCATGACAAAATTTTTTGAATTTGAAATCAATTTATATCTTAAATAAAATTTTTGATAATTAATTATTTCAAAAGAAAAATTTGTAAGCGATTTTCAAAAATTTTAAAAATCTGATTTTAGTATAAATATATTCTAACATGTATAGAGATGCCCATACCATGAAGTTCACAAAATTTTGCATAGAATTGTTATCCGTTTTTATATATCGATTTTCCAAATAAATTTTAAAAAATAAACCAAAGTTTTTTGGCGAAAAATGTGTCGAATTTATAGGTATGGTAATCTACACATTCTGTAATACAATTCCGGTGTAATCAGTTTTTTTAAATTTTGAAAATGACCCTTGATTTAAGAAGTGAGAAATTTTTAATCATCATATAGATTCCATATTCCAATTTTTTTTATTAGTAAAAAAAAAAATTGTAAAAACAAAATACTCATGTTGTATATTTTTTTTGGTTTACATTTTGCATTTGATATATATCTTTTAAATCATAAAAATATTATAGAATGTCGTACTATCGAATGCTATAAAGATGGATGTAAATATATTCCATGCATTGACTAAAAAAATTGAATAAATTATTTTTTTGTAAAGTTTTACCAAAAAACCATTCAAATAAAAAATAATATTATTATACCATTTTTTTCTAACATTTTTTATTATTAAGATTAAAAAAAAGAATTTATTTGTGAAAGTTTGAATCTAAATAGCAAATATATTTTTTTTCAATAAAAATCATATTGGCGCTATTGCTAAAAAGTTATATAATTTTGAATAAATTTAAGAAATAATTATGTCCTAGGGGTATATTATACATAGAACCTTATGTAACACAGGGATAGTGCAATTGCATTTTTAAGATTTGAAAATAGACTGGAGGGGGTGGGGTCACTCTTTTTGTCAATTAAATTTTAATATACTTTGTCAGTAGAGCAACTTTATATTTGATGGATTTCATCATTTTAGGCATAAGGGAGAGGGGCCCTGCAATATACATTAATAAAAATGAGCCAAATGGCATTAGCAAGACAATGCAAAATTTCCAGTAACGATTTACCATGTTAGGGTCAGTTAAATAATTCATAAAAACTTAAACTAATAATGAGTTTATATATTTGATTATTATGTGATAAATCATTTAAAAAATTTTGTATTGTTAGTCAGACCTTTTAATATATACGAAAATAATTAAGAGGCATTTAAAAAGCTTAAAAAATAATATCTTAAGAACAGATATAGAGAAAAAACAAATTAATATTTAAATGTACCTATTTTTTTTAATAAACTTGTTAATCTGAGGGAAAAATATTATTATCTATACATTTACATTAAATAATTTTAATTTAGGAGTATTTTAGATTTGTAGGTAAATATGAAAAAAATTTAACAATAAGTTATTGAGATGTTTATTCTTCCTATAAATTTTGACTGATTTTAATTTGAGTGCAAATGATTAGTATATATATAGTTAAGATAAATGAAAATAAAAGATATTTAAATATTTATCATCAAATTTCTATTGCTGTACGAGAGTTGAGAGATTTCCTATTTTTCATTCGATAACGGAAAAAAAATGTTGTTTATAAAATGCGAAACCCAAAAAATTATTCTTTTTATAAAAAGAACTAAATTAAATTTGAAAAATATATATTATAAATATAAAATTGCAAATTTATATTCTTAAAAAAAAACAATTTTAAAAATGTAAATTTCCGTGATTCACGGGAAATTTATGTTCACGCCAAATCACGCCCGGCAGAAACTGGGAAGGCCCTTCGCGCCAGTCATGCCTAAGAATTTAAAATTTATTCACACTCACGCCGTGACCCATCTTGTCAGGATTTGACCCGTGCCCTTCTAATACCTACTCGAATCATTCCGTATTTCTCCCCTGGTCCATTTGTCAGTTAACGGATTCAGCATACTTATGGTGTTCACTTGTATCATATTATTGGCAGATTTAGTATAGAACGTTTCCATTGGAATAAAATTATTTTATTAACTACCTAAATTTCCATAAAATTTTTTTTTAACTTTAATTGTATTTCTAGTAAAATTTCTAATCAATAAACATTTTTATTATTCAACAAAAATACTCAACTTTATTTTCCTATTTATTTATCATTTTCCTTTCACTTTAACCTATATCCACATACTTCACAAATTTCAATTGCCTCTATATAACCTTCCTCAATTTTCCAAATTCTTGTTTCTCCTTTCTTTTGCTATTTTTGTTTTACCAATTACCTATAAATAAATTACTTTTGCGTTCCTTTTAAACACAAAATTTATTTCCTAACCCCACCTTTTCCTCACAAAATTTACTTAAATCTTTTAATTTTTCTTGTTTTACCAATTTCCCATAATTAATTGTGCTACTCGAAATTTTTCTTATAACCCTCCATTTTACTACTTTTACTACATACTCATTTTTATTTTTAAAAACAAATTACCACAATTTAACCTCATTCCTCAATTTCATCTTCTTCACAACTTACGTGTTAATTTCTCCCCCCCCCCCTTTACGCATTTTATTATTTCAATACAACTTCTCTACAATGCAATAAACATTTTATTTCAACTGATTTACACCATAAGCAATTCAAAAATGTCTTACTCTGCGATTACCTCCTTAATCCAAATTTTCTCCTGGACTATTTGTACTGATCCCCATAGTTTAACTTGACTTCAATTTAACATCAATTAACCACTTTTTATATTAATCTCGATTTTCTCCCGGGTTTTTTGACATTTGCCATTTGACCCCCTTTATTCTCCGGAAACTATATTTAAAATCAATTAAATTTCCTACTTTATATATATATATTGACTCGACTTCCTAAATACATTATCATGGCTTAACACATAAAATATCAAAATGAACAAACACGTAATCCAGAAGTTACTTTGGTTTTTAATTTAAACTTTCGGCTTTAATTTTAACAACAAATTATCAATTTCTCAATTCCCATGTCCTGTTACTTATTATAAAACTCTCGACCCTTTAACGATGCTCTTGAGATTTTACCAGTTGCTTTCTTCTCTAACTTTTGACTTTTTCTATATTTTCTATATTCTTTCTAATTTCACTATTAATTCCCCTACAATTTTTTATTGGTATATTATTCACATCTTTTAACTTATTTTCATAAATATGATAAAATTATTTCTCTCCCACATATATTTCTAACTTTTTTTCGTTACACTTTTATACCTTTCTTATTCTCAATTGATCTATGCTTTGTGTCCTCACATTTAACCTTAAGTATTTTATTTGCCACATATGACCATTTCTTTCTCTAATTTTTTTACCTTTGCCATACACCAGAACCCACACTTATTGATTAATTACATATTTCAACTCAGAGTTACTTATATTTTTTAAAAATGTCGAAACTGGTTTCAACATATCCAAAAACATGTTAGTTTTTCTTCCCAATATTTTCTCAGGCGGGGACCTGCCATCCCTTCCCCCCGCACTGTTGTATACAAATGACCTACCCACAGCTTTCCTTTACTTTCTTTATTTTTCTTAAACCAATTTTTATAATCGCAACCATCCGTTCAGCCTGCCCATTCGAGCTAGGATGAAACGGTGGCGCCATTATATGTCTCGCATTATTTTAGAGCATAAATTATTGAATACGGCACTTACAAAGGCCGCCCCTCCATCAGACACCATAATCCTAGGAATTCTAAATTTCGAAAATTTTTTCTCACAATGTCTTATATCTATTACTGTGGTTAAACCATGCACCTCTTCAAATAAATCAACACTCAGAATAACCTTTTTTCTATCCCATTCAAAGAAATCTACAAGTACCCTTTAGACGGCCCTCTAGGTTTTGGTCAAATATCACTTTTTTTGGTTCCGGAGCATGCTGGACCTGGCATTGCAAACCACACAACTTTTTTATAAATTATAATTTCTTTATTCATTTCTGGCCATCACATTCCTTTCTCCATTGCTTCATTCTGGCTATTCATTGATGACCCTCATGTAACATATTTAAAACCCTATCTCTTAATCGTCGGGGTATGACAGCTCTATTCCCTTTCATGAGACAATCATCAATTATTATTAATTCAGCCTCTATATTTTTATATTTATCCCCTTTACAAAGATTTCTTCCTGTCAATCATAAATTTGCCAAAGCCAATTCTCTATCTTTCAAAATATATTCTTATATCTCTTTCCACGTATCAGGACTACCCTTTAAACTCCACGTTAATGTAAGAATTAATGACTCTTCACCGGCTTCATCATTCACCATAATATTAATACTTACCTCTTCATTAACTCCTAACCTCGATAAAACATCAGATAAATGATTTATATTTTCTCTGCCTATACTTTAATTGCAAATCAAAACTACCCACTAACAATAACCAGCAATGAAGTCGTCATTAATTATTTAAAAAAAAATGAATGAGAGTTTTGATCTATATATACTTAAAATTTCTTGCCAATTAAATATTTTCTACATTTTTGCCTATTCAAATATAACCCCTAAAGCCTCCTGTTCTATCACTGAATATCTCGCTTCTTACTCTCGTGAAAAATATTATAGGTCTTTTCATTTCTTCAATTAAATGTAATAGAGACACCCACTCCTTTTTTGGTTACAACTAAGTCCAAAATTATACTTCCAAATAACTAAAAACATACATAGGTTCTTTACTTTTCTAATATCAGCTTACTCCAGTCTTTTATTATGCTGTTCCACCGTTATTCCCGTGACTAACATAAAATACCTCTTCTAAACCTTGAAAAACAGCTGCCAGAAGTACGTTGAAAAATGGATGCCGAAACAATTAATCTAAGTGGAAGTCTACAAAATATAAATAATCCCTTAAATGTCGTTATTGTCAACAATATTCTCGTAGACTCCTTCACCAACACACGAAAAATCTATTTTAGAAAAATATTTCGCCCCTTTTAAAATTACCTACAGATTAAGAGTTGCTCTAATGCTCAAATTCTTAAATGGCAGTTAATTTTGGGCACCGGAACTAATGACGACCATTCGCTATATCCAATAGGACAAATAATGCCATCAAGTACCAATTATCTAATTCCCCCTCAATTTCTGCTCCCCAAATGGCACTCCGCGCACTGCATAATACTGGGGAACGTAATCTACCAAATGACCTAATTTTTTATCGAAAACTTCCCCATATTTATTTTTCAAATCTGCCACTGCTCTTTGCAACAAATTTAAAATTACTTCAATTTCATCCATTACTCTTTGTCTTCAAATTTTATCCTTATTAATTGCGCCGGGATAATTTCTAAAACAGGCCATTTATCTCTTTCAAATTTTATTTCTTCCGACTGATGATTTTATTCACATGTTTTCTTGTATCATTATTTCCCTCTTCAAATATCTTATCAACTTCAACTTCTATTTCATTATATGCTATTTTTATATATATTTATTTTCATCATTACTATTGCCTTACATCTCACATTTCCTTAAATCCTTCACCTATATTCTTATTAACATTTATCACATTTAAACTGTTTGGTCCTTACCTAACCCCAGGTCTACTAAATCCCCTTACTCAACTTCTCATTTCCACCCATTTCGACCTCCTCGTATCAATTTCCTCTTGGTTATAGACTTCTTTATTTTCTTTTGGTATTATATTTTCATTACTTTCTACTCCAAAAATATTCCATAAATATATTAGATGGTTCAATTTTCACTATCCAGTTCTACCATTTCTACTTCTTCCTCTAAAACCCATAAATTGAATCGTATTTTTTTCTACCTCTGGTATATTAACTTTTCCTAAAGCTACCATATCAGATCCATATAATTATTTAACCGTCATTTTATCTTTTATTATTCATTATTTTGGCCATAACTTATTTATTAATCTAATACAGATTTTCTCTCTAGTATCTAACAAAATCAAGTTTTCTATTTCCTACATTCACGTTTACCATTGGAAATGAATAAAATTCATATTATTATCTATGACCAAATTTGAACTCATATCATTCAAAATATCTATTTCATTAAAAAAAAATTATTTACATCAATTTCTTTTAAATTATTATTTAACAACGTATCTGATCCCCTTTCAGATTTATTTCATTATTTTCCACAATTAAATTTGATATCATACCACTTTTCAAATTTATCTCTTTTATGCATTTTTCATTAACTATATATATTAAATCCCTTCTCTCTTACCTCATATCATTCTTATTTATAAAATTATTTACATGTTCGTGAAAATCTCCTGAAGTGAAATTCCCCAATATAGCCTCTTTTCCATCATACAGTCATCCTACTGGGCAATCCTTGACAAAATGCTCAATATCTTGACATTTGAAGCATGTGATATTACAAATGTTATTTCTTTCCTATATACTTTTTCGGTTCTTCCCTTTCATTTTTAATATATGCATCCAAAGCCAAATATTCTGCTGGGAATGCTCAGTTATTCAATGAACATTAATCTCGCGTATGCCACGAATTTCTGAAACTTTTACAAACCATTATTCTATGTTTTCCATTAATTTATACTCTTGAACATAACAATTCTTTACCCTATGCCCTTTATTTCGACATCTTTTACAAACCATTGGTAATGCTCTTTGAACTATCCTTTTTACAATTCCTGCTTATGTGAACATATTTTACACATGTGAAACAGGTTCCATTCGATTAAGCTCTTTGATTAATCTTCTTATTACAATCTCTGCTATGTAGCTTTATTTTCCACATTTAAAACATGTCCCATTTGACCCAGTTCCAATTGACCACCCCTCCTATTTTCCACTCTAAACACATTACTTACACCATTTTATCCCTGACCATTATCATTGTTAGTTTAAGGTTATTGATAGATATTGACAAGTCAACATATAGTAATATATAATATCCTAAATTTATCTCTTTTATATTAATCGTACCATACCAATAATGGCTTAACTCAAGTAAAAAATTTTAATTGGATAAAATATATTTAAAATTAAACAAGTATCTGAAATAAGAAAAGTTGTATTTAGATTGCTTTTTTAATATATGTAATCCATTTTATTAATAATCTGTCAAACAATTATGTAAAAAGAAATAATTTATGGAAGCTTACAAAAAATGTTATGAATTTCTATAAAACTTTTAAATTTTAGGTTTGTATTATTCGAATAATTAAAATTTATTAAATATAATTTAATTTCGCGGGGTTTAGACCAGGAAACAATAATTTTCTAGAAAAATAAGTTACTGATTTAATAGGTTAAAAAATAAATTGCTATTTTTATTTGGAAGAAATAACTTCCTTCTTTTTCTCCCATTCATTTCAACTATATTCACTCTAATATTTTAATTTGGGGTGTAGTTCCACTCTTAATTTTAACTATTACATTTGTGTTACAAAGTTTGTTGGTATCCTCGAGAAAAAACAATCTGTACAATATATGTAGGTTGTCCTCCATATGATTCACATTCGCTCACTAGTGGCAGGTCTATGACTCGTGATAAGATAATAAGATTCGCTTTTATTATTTACACAATCACTATGGGTAGGACTGTGACTACGTTATAAGATAATAAGATATTAGATTCGTCTTTATTATTTACACAATAATTGAAACAATTTTTTTAAAAAAAAAGAAATTAACGAGGAAAATTTAGTAAAAAAAAAATTCTGAGAAAATTAAATAAAATTTTGAAGAAAAATTTTTTCAAAAAAAACTGTAAAAATTCTTAGCTTGCAGTATTTTTAATATTGAGTGAGTAGAAAAAATTTTAAGCATTTCAGAATATTTACTAAAAATTTACAAAATTGCATAAAGCGCACAATTTTAAAAATATATGTTGAGAAGGTGGTGGGGGTAAATGGGGATAATCCCCCGCCGTATCAACGACATGAGTGAGAGTTAATTTCTTATTATATCAGATAAAGGTTTACTTAAGACAATGAATAACAAAAGTACCTTAAAAACACTTTGCCTATATGATCTAAGGAAATGTGGATAAATTATTATTGAATATGTTGTTTTTCTTTTAATAAATGACTTCGCGATACATTCATGGTAAAAAAAAAAGGATTCGCTATAAAGGGACAATTTTCGCTACAATCGGGTTTTTTATAAAAGTTTCACTAAAATGTATTCTCTTACAATTTACGGTTCTCGCTGAAAATGTTTTGCGGTAAAACAAAGATTTGCGAAATTGCTGCCATATTACCCTCGCTCTAAAATGCATTCACGATAAACGACATTAATTGTAAAAGTTTCGTTAAAATGTTTCTCAATAAAGTTGCTGATATAACCTAAAATTCCCTACAACACTGGGGTAATGGCGGAGAGCTTATATATGTGACAAAAATTCGGTTTGGAAATATGCCGGTCACATGTGCTCTATATATGGGTGCAAGACATGCCCATTAAATGATTTTTTTTTAATTTTTAAATTTTATTATATTTTTTTAATATGTTGACTTTTTAAACTGAACAAAATTTTGAATGTAAAAAGGGAAAAAAAACTATAAATATTTACCTTTTTTAGAAAAATCAAAATATTTTTTGTTTACTTCTCTATAAAATCTGCTGACGTTATGATATATTTTTAGGAAGGAGGGGCGGGGAGATTTAGGTTAAAAATTTATTTCTTATTATTATTAATATTCACCTATCTAAAAATTTAATATAATTTATTTAACAATTCTGAAAAATATATATGTCCTTCAAGTTTCATATGGTTTTCGGAATTCTTATGTTTGTAAGTTCTTAGATATTATATTTATATTTCTTTTTAAAATAGTTTAAACTTAGAAAATATTTATATTATTCAACAAATTTTTACTTTATATTAAGGTGATGATTATCAACTATAGCTCCCAAAATACATTAACAACACGTAGAATATTTATTTATATTTATTTATCAAATTAATGGAAATATTAAAATATGTTGATTATTAGTAGTTTAGTTAAATGGCTTTATTTACGCTTTTAGCCAAAATAATATAACGCAAGCCTCAAGATTTCGTTAATAGAATTTCCTAATCATTATGCCACTTATGAGCAAAATCTCCAAGACTTGCGTAATATTTATGGCTAAAATATTGGGTTAACAGTTTTTAAAAATCGAGCCGTTTAAACACTACTTTTTAGTGTAGTTGTTTTATTCTGGGGCTAGAAAAATTAACCAATAAGCTAACTAAACCTTAATTTCTTAACTATATCCAAATAAACGAAGAATATCATTTAATTGCACAGTAGGATAATCGAAATTTACATTTTTACTTTCAGTTTTATTTGTCCAGTTTTTAATTTGTTTTCATAGTTTTAAAATTATTTTTCAGTTTTTGTTAGATTTTCCTAATATAGTGGGTTTGGTGTTAAATAAAAGTATTCCTCATCTAATATAATCACTAAGCCTTATCTCTGTTACATAATCCTAAGCTAACGACTAACGCGGTCCATGATTTGAAAACGAATTTCTATATTTTGGGATAAATTTGAATAACAAATTGTACGAATTATTCGAGCTTGAGAGAGAGTATGCGCTATGTAATTTAACAGCTGATCGAAATTATAAATCTTCATATTTTTATAAAATGAATATACTATATGATTACAAAAATATAATTAATATATTAATAAAAAAAATTAAGCTCATTGAAAGATTTTATAAATTCGATCAGGTGTCAAATCGCGTTGATAAATGCCCACTAATTCTGCGTTAAGCATAATATCCCTCCTTATGCTAATTGAAGGGTGGGGTTTTTTAAAAAAATATATATATTTTTCGCTAAACCTACATTCACAGTTAGAAAGAATTTGCGGTGATTTTTTATACTTCGCCGCAAATATTAAATTACTTTATTGGTTAGGGGAAAGGCTGATTTTAAATGTCTATGTTAAATAAGAAATTTCCATTGTTGTTGATGTTTATGAATAAATTTAAAGTGCTGTCCATCTAAAATATATAAAATTTATTAATCTTGCTATTCCATTGAAATTCCCAAATCACTTTGTAACTTTTAATGCTATACCAATGAAATTACCAAATTCCCACTTGCCTTTTTACACCTAAATATAGAATCAAAAATCTTGATAAAACTAAATTGTAATTTACAAAACTTATTAAACTTCATTTAGAATAGCTGGTGACAAAAAAAAACAAAGGAGAGAAAGAGATGATTAAGATGAAGAAGAGGGAAAGTTGTCGAAGTCTGCCCGGCTACTTAGGAAAAGAACCCATAAAGCAAATAATATTAGATTTCTTAATTCCAAAGCGCTTAAGTAAATATATGCCTTTTCCAAAATTTTGATTTAATTTTCAGTGTTCATCCAAGCTTTTCAATTAGGCTAAGCCCATGCTTACCAAATGAACTTAGAGTTGTTGCAACAAATGGTTTGAACTTATATTCATCTTCTAAAACAACATATTTATTATTTTTAAAGTCCTTGTTAATTTTAGAATGACTTTATTGATGTTAGAGAGTAAGAGGTAGTCAGCGCCGTGTAATTCCATCGAGATGTCTCTCATCAGTGAAGAGATCTGACGGGGGGTCCTAAAGTTATAGGAAAACCTTTTGATGAGAGCATAGCATCCGTTATGTCGAATTGAATTTCACTACTAAAGATGCATGGGAAACAATGACCGTCAGATTTACTTACTGGATTCTTGCATTTGGCCACTCATATTGGGCAGAGGCTTTCCACTGAATTATTTAAAAAAAAATATTGATAATGTGCAATCAATATATTATATTTGCTAGTTTTTAATTTTTAAAAATAAATCATTCAAGTAATTCGATTATGAATATCAATATAATTCGTATATTCAATTCGTTTTTGAAACCGAAGATCTTTGGTGAGGTTTTTAAAATCTGATAATCTAGCACACATTATTTAACTATACTATTAAAAATGGATATAAATATTTTGCTTCGTAAAATTTTTTTTAAAACCAATTCATTCATTCATTATATATATGTCAACTTTTTTATTTGTCAATAGTGAGTAGTAATTACGATGGAGACACTTCTAATATCACAATACTCGTATATTCCTCACCTTGCGATAAATATAAGACCGAGAGCTGTAACCCCTGCGTGAATATCACCTGTAACAGCAATACAACTTTGGTAGAATGCGAACCGAACTATTGTAAGGGAGCATGCGAAGCTATTTTTAAAGATGCTATCACAGAGAAATTTATTGATTGTCGATAATATATTATATTAGCTGGTTATTTTATTTGTTCTATAAAAATTTATTTGTGATTCGGGTAAAATTAATATTTAAAAATAAAAATGTATGTATATCCTTTTTTATTTTTATTCGCTGAGTTATTTTAATTGTATAAAAAGATTTGATTCCGGTAAAAAAATAAAAATATTCTTATACCTATATTAGAAATTTAAACTATATTAGCGTCTCTGTTAAAAAACATTACCTAAAGAATAGTTAGTTTCATAGCTTAGAAAAATCACCACCCGAAAAGATTCCCAATTGAGTTACCGGGCTGATATTATCATCACATAAATTACTGGTTTTAAAACGGTTGGATATTCTTGATAATTCCTTATTTTTTAAATAATATATTTATGCCTTGTTAAGGACTCCTCTGGCTGATATTATATTAACGATTAATATCTTTAAAAAATCCAGTTCCGTCGTGAGGATATGAGATTTTCGTTTAACAATTAACAAATATTTAAGGATATCTCAAGTTATTGCATATTATTTAATGCGCATTTCAACTATTTACTTTATCTTCTCTAATCTCGGGAATTTCAGAGTATTTAGATATTGCGATTTAAATTCTTGTTATATTTAATAAGCTTTTCTTTAAATCTCTGTAATTTATATACAATTTAAATTAATGGAATCAAATTGGAAAAGAAATATCCAACTAGGAGATAATTTTCTTAAACTTATCAAAAATTATATAGATTTATAAAATTATAAAAATTAATACAGAATTGCTCTAACTTCTTTATCAATTTATAAGAAATTATATTATACTTCACATTGGCATAAGAATCATTTTCAGCATCAGATAACTACTATGATATATTGTAATAATTCATTTTAAAATTAAGGGAAATTAAATAAGGAAGTTTTGCGAAAATATTAATTATATTTTTTCTAAAAACATGGATAAAGACTCCTTTTAAATGTATCATTGAATTAAAATAAAAAATGGCTGTGATTAATCATTTTAATTTATTTTATAAAAAATCGGAAGAAAGCGTAAATTAATAAGCGGCGTATTTTGGCATAATCAAGGGTAAAAAAATTGGAAGATCTGGAAACCCGCTATAAGTTAAAATTGGCTAAAAAAGATGAGGAATATGATAATTTATTTTAAGGGTTTTATATATTAACTTGATACAAATTCTTCTGAATATTTACAGGACACTACTTCAATTTGTAATTAGACTCTCTGTATTTCTAGGTTGAAATATTGAAAAGACGAATAAAATTGATAAGGTTTAAATATCAAGAATAAATATTACAAATATAACTTCAAAGCATTCAAATTAAGAATTCGAATGGCATTAAAAATTTTGAGCAGGAGTGTTATATTTTACTTGGTCAACATATACTGCACAAGAATATGATAAACAATCCTTTTGGAAAAAAGCCACTGGAATCTTCTAAACTTGCAAATTTAGTTAGAAAAAATCATTTGCACAACAGAAACCATCATATCAGCGAAAGAGTTTTTTCTACTAACGAATTAACACTTAATACCAAAAAATATATATCCTAACGATCTTGATAAAATAGTATTTATTCACAATTATCATTTAACTAAATTTAATTTTTAATTTATTACATTTAATTTCTTTAAACACCCCGCCTAAAAAGATTTCAAATACACGGATAGGGTCTAAGTACAAATGATACCTATACAGATCTCAGGTATTTATATATGTTACCGTCAATGTGTTATTTTATAAACTTTAAGCTAATGAAATCTTAAAAATCTGATTTTACCAGAAATATATTCCAGCATAAAATAACTACCCTGCGAATTTTAGACATTTTTTGCTATTAACTTCTGGGTCTTTTAAAATTTATGCATAAAATCTATTGAGTTCAAAAATTCACGAATAAATTTTCTAAAAATTACAAGGTTGGTTTTCTAAACATATTGGAATACATACGAACAAAATGATTTAAATTTGAAAAACATTGACGCTAAAATATATAAATTAGACTTGATATTTACCAATAAATCGATAAAGTATTATTGATGTGACTGAGTACAATTTTTATCGTAAATCTTTTTTTTTGTATGAAAAAAAATATATAATTTATTTAGGGTTGAACACGGATAAAATTCCGGATCTCAAATAATGGTGAAACTGAGAGTGACCTATAATTATTAAAATACATTTAAATAATAAATTCATTACGTTTATTTTAAAAAATACGCCATGAAAAAAAGAACTAGCCGGCGCCGATTTATATCCCGGAGCAAGCAAGGGTGTAAATACAAGAATGACATGGTAGTTATTAATTATTATGTTCATCAATCAAATACAATATATATATAATAATAAACATCTATAAAAAGGAAATATCGAATGAGTAAGACAAATAACCAGTTGTGAATTCTCAACCATTTTTTTCAGACAATCTAAACATTAATTATTATAAATATAATATAAATATAACCATTTATTTTAAATGTATACTTATAGATAGGCCTATTAAAAATCCTGATTAGGATCGATATTTTAAAAACGAACCGTATAAGATTTTAGCCAATATGCAAATCTGGAAATTTTGTTCACATATGGCAGAAAAGTTTGGACCTCCATTCGCCAAATCTCGAACATAGTATTATTTTGGCTAAAATCTTAATTAGGCTGTTTTTAAAAATCGACCGGGGTTTCTAAACACCCTAATTTATAGTATACCTAAACGATATACGTATGGTTATAAGGAAAATTATTATACCATATCTGGTTAGAAGTGTAAATATCAACGATATGTTGAAGATAGTGCTGCATATTAAAAAACCTTATTTTTTTTCTTTTAAATTTAATAAATAAATGCTAATAAAATAGTCTCCAAGTGAGCCCTTAAAAATAGTATATATATTTTATGTCGTATTAATATACGGGATGGCAATTTAGAATTTCTCAATTTTTAAAAAAATCTGATTTGAACGAAAATGCATATCCAGCATGTTTAGAAGGGGTACGTCATATAACCTATAAATTTTAGGCAATTTTTCGTCTTTAACTTTTGTGTCTTCCATAATTTATACAAAAAATTTTTATAAATCTATACCGAGTACAAAAGTTCAGGGAAAAATTATCCGAAATTTACACTGTGGTTATAAATTTTACTCATTTATGCTGTAATACATTTCCGGCGCTCTGAGTAAATGATTGAAAAAAAGAGAAATTTCCGAATCCCAAATAAATTCTATATGCCAATAATACAAACATACATAAGAAACTTTCAAAGGTAAAATTTTTTAAGGCGGTTCCAGATTTTTAGAATGGATATATAGTAGAACTTTGATAAAGTTTTTTTTTATCGCCAACGTTTTAAAAAATAAATGTTTTCCCGGATCGGGCTTTAAAAAAAATGCAACGATGCAATTTAAGTGATTTTTATTTGTGATTGAGAATTTATCCATTATAAAAAAAATAATCGATATTTACTCGTTTACGGCATTTAAATAACGTTTTTAAAAAAATGAATAAAGGTTTTTTAATATCTTTTGTTTAATATGAATATGATCCAATATATAATTTTTACAAATGATTAATTAATTATAACTTAAATTTACTTTTTTTTTAAAATCGAACCTTTCAGGGTTAACCGTAAAAAATTTTTTTTTGACGGAAGTCCTATTATTTTGTAGCTCTGAGTTCTGAAGATCTAGATGTCTCTTAAATATATATATCGGAAATGCATTATTTTTTCAACTTTAAATCCCTTTTTGAGCGCGTTTTTAAATTTTAATAATTTTATTTTTCCGGATATATAAATACCAATAGAAATAATCTTATGAATTATAGCTGTTAATCTTTAAGTCATTTATAATTTTTATAAAAAAATCTGCGAAAAACTAAGATAAATTTAATAAGTTCAAAACTTCGTGGAAAATTGTCTGAAATTCATAGAGTAGGAATTCCAAATATGATGGAATATATTTCCAGTAAAATCAGATTCAAATTTTTAAATGCCTTCAAATAATGATAGTTGAAAAAATAACATATTGTCCAAATAAACACTGTTTACATAAACACATATTATCATATTAATATTCGGTAAATGAGTGTTGGGAAATTATGTAACTCGAACTGACTCCCAAGGGCTCATCAATATTGTGAATGATTAAAAGAGAATTTCCTTATGCGACTTGCCTATGATCATCATCAAAGTATTATGCATGTAGCATAGAATGGGATAATTAGTGGTTGAGGTGGGGGGTCGTTAGCATTTACAAATGGGGGAGGGACAAACGATAAAAATAATAGGAAAAAAAAATTATTAATTTTTAGAGGGCTTATATATTTTTATATAAAGAATTGAACCTTCCAACGCCGCTGATGGGGAGGAGAGGAAGGTCGTGAATAAATAATGATTCTGATATCAAACTATGGATTAAGAGTGAATAAAATAAAAAAGATCAAAATGAAGACAAAATTTGATAAAGATTCTAATACCACATGAATATGGTATAAGTGATCTATTTGGAAGCCTACAGAGAGTAGAATAAAAATTTAAATATTGGGTGGATGGGTTAGTTTTATATATTTTTATGTCAAAATGAACAGAACAGTCAAATATTTGTTAAAAATTATTTTTATCTCATAATATTGTATATTTTAAGTTTAAGTAAGAATTTATTTAAAGAGAACCAAACAAAACATTGGGCACCGGCTAAAATTTGTTAATAAATAGGCAGGCAGGTTAATTTTTTATGAACTATGGGTGGGTTACTTAATTTCTGAAACAATGAATGGGCAGTTAAAAATACACCCATTGCATACTTTGGCTCCAAAAAGGAAATAAAAGCAAGATGAGATCTAGAGCATGAGAAAATGCTGAAACAGATGTCAATAGTAAAATACAAAAAAAAATATTTCCAAATTGAGCATTTATGTTTGCTAAAAAGAACAATTTTGTTTATATTATGTAACACAAAAAAATTCACACAATCATATTTAATACATTTTTTGAAGAAAAAAAATGCAAAAGACAATGATTCGATTTGCATTGGATTATAAAAAAACAAACATATAGGGGCAAAATGCAATTTATATTGAAAAGATAGTTTTGATATAATAAAATTGTTATGGAGAGGGAGAGGGAAGGGGGGGGGGTGTATAGAAAGGTTTTGGACCATAGAAAAATTTAAAATTTTTTGGAAATTTAAGTAAAATGATTACTTTTTAATTTTGGAAAATTTTAACCTTAGTGTTAGATAAAAATGTCAATTTAACCAGCTTTTAAAAATGACTAAATTGATATTCTAACTAAACATATCTAAGCCTACATTTATTTAGCTAAAATCTTAATTTAAAAATGTTTTTAATTTGGAATATTCAAGCCAAAAAAAATGTGTATAGATTTTTTTTACTTGTTATACTAACCTAGGTGAATGCAAGGTGATGTTAAATAACGTAAGAAAAATACAAGTTAATTAAGAAAAATAAGAATGGAGTTTAATTAATAAGTTTTGATATTACTTATATTTTTAAACCTGTATAAAGGCTATCACCTCAAATATTATACATTAAAAAAAACCTCCATATTATTTCCTGCTTTAAGTTTTCTTCTCTGTATTTTTAAAATTTTTCTTTGTTTTTTCCCAGATAAGGAGATATTTGCATTTGGATTTGTTCTGTGATAATAATATAAAGATGTAATGTAAGTAGATAAAATATTAAATTCAAATTTTTTTGATGCATATAAATATTATATTGTGATATTTTTTTGTGAAAATAAATATTATATTTAAGCAATTTTTTTTAGTATAATTATTTCTTTATTCAAAATGCAATTTAATTTAAATTCCTTTGATAAAATTTGTACATGCCCAAAAATATCTTTCAAAGAATATAGTTTATAACTAATTACTTTTCAAAAGAATATTTTTAGACACACTAAAATGAAATAGAACTCTAAAACAACTATCATATAATCCAAATAATAAGGTTAAAAAATAATTTTAGATCTAGAACTTAAGAAAGATATATATGGAACACTATAATAAAATTCAGATAGGTAATATAATATAAATATTTGTATATAAAAATAGAATTAAAAGATACTTTAATTTTTGATTAATAATCCAAGGAGGAATTCCTATAAGCTTTTCACATCGCGTATTCTTATGCTTATCTTTTTTTAAAGTGACCTTTCTTGATTTTTTATGTTTCTGATTATTCTTATTAGTTTTCTAAATATATGAAAATTTTTAAATATTTTAGATATTATTACCATTATTTGATCTGATTCTGAGAGAAAATGAAAGATACATCTAATTCTGTCTAAAAAAATTTGATTGACCGTTTTTATATTTATTGATAGGTATTTTGCATAATATTTGATTTTTAATATTTTTTATAAATTGTTACACTATTATACTGCTACGCATTAAACTCTTAAAATATGATTTAATTATATTTAATATTAACTTATCATTTTTTAATTATGAATTGTATTAATTTATAATTATATTTTTTATTTCCTATAGTACATAAACATAATGCAAATATATTTATCTATATTATAAGGCTTTCATGTTTTAAACTTCTATAAAATAGTGAAATAACTTTACATAATCCTTAAATAGCTAAATTGATTCAGAGAGATTTAGGAAATACTTTCCTACAAAATTGGTAAAAAAAATTTAATTATGTTTATTAGTGAAGTTATATACATTAATAAATCTGATAGCTCAGATATCATGTCTAAGAATAAAATATGCAAAAAATTTGTCATAGGTTACCAATTATCTAGCTGCAAATAACTTTTTATATAATAATTTTCATTTAATTTTTATTAATAAAAACTAATTTAACATATTTTGAACATTAGAAATTAGCGACATGATCAAAATTGTCTCAGAATAATGAATTCTATTATATAATTGCAATTTATTAGGCAATTAAACATATAAATAATTATAGACAGTGAGATTCACAAGAATCCAATACATGTATAGCTAAACTGGTAAACATTCCATTCCAAGGAATTATTATATTAGCAATCTAGAATGCCATATTATTCGATTAACATACATCTAAGGATGCATAATCATTTGGAAAAAGCTAAAAACTTTTAGACTTGCTGATTTGAGATCAAAAAATTGTTCTTAATAGCTGGATAATTATATATAATAACATTTTTATGCCTTACTATCGACAAGATAATATTTATTCATGACAAGTACAATTTAACTAAATTTGATTTATAACTTATTTACATTTCTTACTTTATACTTTGTTTACATTCTAATTGATAAATCCCTAGACTGTTCCGATGAATGAAAAATACACAAATTTATATAAGGGTGGGATAAAAATAATTAAGAACTAAACTATACTAACAATGATGGAACTATGAGTGTCAAATTACATTATAAAAATGTTATACATTGAATTATAATTTAATTCATATATTAAATATGTAGCATCACCTAACCAATTTATTAGGCCGTTGGTAACTCAGCAAGGCGATAATGGCTTATTTATAAAAAATCAGATCTAATCATATTAACATTAAGGCAAAGCTAATAAAGACGATGCTGGTTGAGAAGAAAATGAAAAAACTATCGACAGAGATGATAGACTTTTAAATTTTTACTTTATTTCAATGGCGCCAACTCCACGCAATTAGAGAGGTTCTTGGCCCAATAAAATATTCTATGCAAGATATTATTGACCATTTAACATCAAATTATCTTTAAAAAATTTATAACTACCATAGATATTTTTATTAATTATCGCCGCTTCTGTTTTTTAAAGAATAAAGTGAAATCTCAAGTAGTGGTGAATGGCTCCTATTAACAGGTTTTAAGTCGACTATATAGAAGATATTAACCAAATTTTTAAATGATAATTATCATCTTAGAGATCGAAGTTTTAACTAAAGAATATCTGATCCTTGAAAATCTAAAATATTTTGAGTATAAGACAAAGAATCATTTTATTTTTAATTAGTTTTGTTATAACTATCTAATTTAAAATGTACAGAGAATTAAATCTATACAAATCGACTTATCATTAATTTTATCTTACTGCATTAGTAAACGCGTTATCCTCAAGCGTTACACTATTTAACGCAGCGTTATTACATAAACCAATAAACAGGTATAAATTTATAAATTAAGTATTATGATAACGCTATGATAAAATTAAAAAACATGTTTGATAAAGAAATATGCGATACGATTATAAAAATAATAGCGAGTTCGAAAAAAATAAAATATGATTTCTTAAATATTAAATAAAATAATTATCTGCATTTTGATTCATCTTAAATTAGTTTTCAAAACTGGATCTGCTGTCATAACTCTGCGTTAAATACGTGCAATACTTAAAAATAACGCGTTTACTATAAATGAGGCCTTATACCTTCATTTTACTTTTTAAAAAATCTCATCATTATTTTAAAATATCGTTATAATCCCGATTTTATTTCTTGATACCTCGTGATTGCACGAAACTGTGAAAGAATGGAGGGATAAAGGTTAATATGAGGGAAAATTTGCAATATTATGTTCTATTTGGGAAAACTCATATCGTCCTACTTTATATAAATATGTAATGATATTCTATATAATATAAAATTTTTAAATAAAAACTAACCCTAGTAAACTAAGGATTAAGATAATTTTAATTATTTTTAAATATAAAAAATGAAAAGAAATTAATTGATTTATATATTATATAAAATAAAATTAGAAAAGTGTGATTTACATAGAGAAATAAATATATTTATACATAAAATATCTTACAAAAATTTATAAAAATATAATCTGGATTTATTTAAAGATATTTGTTAGACTTTGGATCATAGATATATTTTCACCTAAAACAAAACATAAATATATTAAGGTCATTTTGAATACCATTTTTGGAAGTTGATTCTTCAAGCATTAATTTGTTTTCTAGATCAGATAAAAATTCCTTTTTCTGGGCTACAGTTTTCTAAAAGTTTAATAGATGTAAATAAATTTCATTTAAATCTTTATAACAATAGAATAATCATTCCTTCCGAGGTTACGTAAATATCCAATTTCTAGACTATTTTCACTAAAAATGGTTATCCTAGTTTTTAGCCAAAAATTATATAATGCTTAGCATGAAGTTAAATTAGCTATTATACAATTATATTCTTTTACAAAATAAGTCCAAACCTTTTCTATTTTACTTAAAAACTATGATTATCCAGGTAAATACAATTTTGCTTCTGGAGTGGGAGGGTAAAAAAAATGACAAAATATTTTAAATAATAAAATTCTGTTTATAATTTTTTTAAAAAAAATTGGGAATCATTGTAGGATCAAGTGCCTCCTTGACTCCTTTTATAGATTTACATTAGTTATTCTAATATTATTTTACCATAAATCTATAAATAAAGTACAATCAATGGATGATAAAGAGATAAAAGAAATATTCCATCAGCACTACCAAATAATTATTTACATAAATAATTAAAATTTTGCATAACCATAAGTTATCAATAAGATGAATGTGATTTATTGGGTTATTTTTTTTACACATAGTAGTGATTAGACTATTCCTAGGTTTGAAATTGAGAATATAAAATTTTATTTTGACTATATCAATAATCTATTCACTTTTATGAACATTCATGTGAATTTTTTAAAATAATTTTTTTTCTTGTGAATATTCCTTAAATCCGAATTCATATTAGGTATTTTGTAATTCATGGCATTTTCTTCAAATGCCAGACATTTTTCTAATGTCTTATAGATAGGGGTAAGGTTTTGATATTTTCACTAAATTTTCTATAATTATAACGTTTTTATATCAGATTCAAATTTTTTTTTACAAACATCTACAACTCATTAAAATTTTAAGTCCTTTCTTCATTATATTCATGTTTAAAATAAGTCTTTGTAATGTGTTATAAATGTCATTAATTTTTCCAAAAAAAACAAGGTTATTGCATTACTATTCAAAAAAGAAACATGTTGTTTTTAAATTATTTTTTATTTTCATCTAATTTTTAGTTCTAATATTTATGTAGAAAATTTTTTTAAATAAAAAGTTTTTAAAACTAATTAAATTTTTAAATTCTTTTTTCAGCTGAAATTTCCATTGGTCTATTAGATAACTCTTATATTAAAGTAGTAATAGTGAGGTAATATTATTATCCCTATCAATACCCTTAAAAGGCAAGATAAATCAAAAACAGTATAGTTTCTTTTTTGAGACAAGATATTGATAAATATAAGATATCTGTAGAGGTAATTGATGCTTAGACAAATTACTAAGAAAAACTAATAAATTTGCTTAAAAAATGTAAAAGTGAGATATAAATTAGCAAATAAATCAAAAGTATCATCCCCACCTTTATATTCAACCACCACCTTTATATTTATTTACTCCCTTTATATTAAACTTCTTAATAAGTCATGTAATCCCTTCTCTATAATATAAATGCCTATTTCCATATAAAAGCATATATGATTCTATAGATTAAATTGTTTGATAGACTATATTTTAAATTTAACAAATTTGTATAGATGAGAAGTAATTGGATGATTTGGCTATAATGAATTTTTATATTGATTCTATATAATAAAAATAAACATATTTGCAAATAAGTTTACAAAAAATTACTTATAATTATGTCATAAAAAACATTTAAACCTCTAACTGATCAATAAACTCAAAAATTGGTTTCAATTGCAATAATTGAGAATGTATTGAAGGTATAGTTTTGTTAGCTATCAAATCAGTGTCAGCTTGTATCTAAATATTAACTTGATTACTTGTAAATTTATATAATTTACTGATTCAAGATGGGCTCTGAATGTTTCAAAATTGTGACTAATTTTAATCATTTTATCAAAAAGTTCCTTAAACTTAAAAAAAATAAAATAATAAATTTTCATAATTTACATTATTATCAGAGTTTAACAAGTTGGAATATTGTTCACAATATTCTTTGCATCCTTTGTTTATGATATCTCTATCGGAATCCAATAAATCATCATTCATCATCATATCATATCATATGAAAAACAAAAATTCTGTTATAAAAATAGTTGACATGATATCATAGGCATGACTAAGTCAGTCAATTATTCGACAGCTACTATTGCAAAACTTCTATATTGAAACACTTTTTAAAAAATAAACTGAGGAATTTATAATAAATCGAATGGATTATATAGTGAAACTATTATTTTGAGTCCATGTTTGGGAAATCTTTTAGGATAAGAATATATTTATAACAAACTAGGCCCGATTTGGGGAGATTTTTATCATAGATGAGAAAGAGTTAAACCTCCATTTTCCTAATCTCGAGGCTTATATAAATAATTTTGGTCAAAATCTTAATTGGGCCTTTTTTAAAAATGAACCCAAATAGGGTCTTAAACAATACTAGAATAAATGCATTGCAGTATTGCTAATTGGCGAAGACTATATAAGAAATATTTTGTATGAGAAGAAGATTTTTTACACCGCATTATAAATATCAGAAAGACAATATCCTGAATAGAATAGCATGAAAGATAAGATCTTGCTAATTGCAGGATTGTATTATAATTTTAATACAATCCCTTAAAATATCTTTTAAATTATATTTACATTATTACTACCTTATCTTTTATGAAAATAATTAAAAAATTCTTTGATTGAAATTGAATTTATTAAAGTCTCAAACATTTTTTTTCGTATTCTTTCGCCTTTTAAAGAAATATTTTCATTATAGTTTAAATTTTTTAGAGTATTTAATTAAAAGAACCTAATATTTTTTTTAATTGCTTTTTAAATTTTTTTAAAATTTTAGGAAAACTTTAAAAAAAAAATTTTTCCGGTTAAATTATACTTAATCTTTGCAGTTTTCTAGATTTTGTCTTTATAAAAAAAAACTCTAAATGTAGAGTGAAAGAGAAAGGAAAATTGACCTTTATGTATTTTTCGGAGGTGAGACAATTCTATGAGGAGTAAAAATTTATATTTTGAGAGGAAGTGATCTCGGTCTATTGCCTCCAGATTATTTTAAATATTATATGGGTTAATTTTGAAATTTGTTTCATGCTGACAATAATAATTTTTTTTAACATTGTAATGAATATTATAATATAATATTATTTCCAAATTAATATATTTTAATATAATAAATAAATTTAAATAATATTTATCTAATATTTTCAATTTTTCAACGGGTACAATATTAACGCTATTTCATATTTGAACAAATGATATAATTATTTGGCTATAATAAGGTTTGGTCGATTAAATTTTCAAACAATATTGCAGAACTATTATATATTTGTAATGGTATCAAAAATTAGATGTTGCGCCAGGCTTATTAATTTCATGAGTAGATCACATTCTTATTTTTTAATAATTAAAATATTGTTATAAAAGTAAAATGGTCAGATTATATTTCTGAAGGATGAGTTCAGTCCTATTAACTCTAAATCTCGAACAAATTAGGGTTGGCTACAAAACCTCCTGCCGTTCACTTATCCCTGCCTGATAAAAAAAGAACAGGTGGTCTCACAAAAATTTGGTTTAAAATGAAAACATTTTATTTGGGATTTTACTTGTGTCTCCCACCAATTTTTCTCTAACCCATAGATCTATCCGATTATTATAGCCGGAAGGTCAAAAATTAGAAAGTACCGTGACTTTTCAGATATTTACTCTATACAAATAGTTATTTCCAATGAGACCCTGACTATCCTTTTTTTAAAGATTTTAGATAAAAAAGTATTTCTCAAATTAATGGTGTGAGTCAATCCTATTTTAAAATGTTATAATCAACTCAAATCACCGTGTTATGAGAGCCTCTTTTTGGCATACCCCCTCCGTCTTAAATATTTTTTATAAAAAGTTTTTATGTCTTGTTACAAATTGCTTACATGATTTTTTTGACATGTTATTTTAACATAATTTTATATATCAAATGTATATTTTTTAAATTTAATGTAAAATATTAATATATTTTAATAAACCTCTATAAAATATAAATAAGTTGAACGGAGTAGTAAGGTTAGAGTTATTTAAGATGCAAGAGATGATTAATGGCTTCTATGAGCAGGGTGATAAGTGGTTGCCATGCTATCAAGTATCTGACCCAATCCAGCATTTTGCTGTACATTACGTGTAGTCTTTCCCACCTTTATATATAGTGATTGACATAAAAAGAGAGGTGAATTTTATGGGAAAGATTGTCAACTAAAATACCCCTTTCAATTCTTTAAGGAAGAATTGATCTTATTGGGTCTAAAAATAATAAATGTAATAAGGAAGGAAAAAATAAAATACTGCTGTAGAATACCAAATCTAAATTTAAATGAGGTTTGCAAAAAAATAAATACAATTTCAAATAAAACGATATATTACGGATTTGGGAAGAGCGTTTTCAGGTCAACTTTCTCTTTGCAATGGGGACAAGTTTGCTTTTTCCCCACTATGCACCAACCCCTGATACAAAATTCGTGGAATCTGCGTTCATATTTAAAATTAAAACATATTATTTTTTTAAATTTAAAATGTAGCCTCCTGCGTATTTTCTGCATTAGCCTGCGGCAGCTAAAATTCTAATAATACCAAAATATCATCATAGACATTTAAAACAGTTTTTTAAAATCATTCCCAAGCAACAGATAATGCAAAATATAAATCGGACTCCCTTTAATTAAAAAAAAATAAATCAAGTTTTCTTAAAATATTCTTAGGAAATCTATCAGAAAAATAGGTCTTGCTTTGAAAATCTTTTTTCTTTCTTTCTAAGTTTTCAATTAAGTATATTATCAAAATATATTACACATGGCCACATTCCAATCTAAAACTTTTTTCTATGGCTTGTCGATCGTCGTTTATTATAAGTTGGAAAATTTTTTGACCGCATATAAAGCATGTATTTTTGTCGTTGCCTTGGGCATCATCTGTTTTCTAATAAATTATGGGTCTAATTTAAATGCAAAGTTTTTTAGAATCATTCCATTGCTAAATCTTACCCATAATTGAATACTTTATAATTTATCTTCTCCCATGATTATTCATAAATATTATGTTAAATTTCTTTTAAAAACTATATAAAAACCTAGTAAAAAAACAACTTAAAAAATTGGAATTTTAATATTTTATCATTAATTATTTTCCAGTTAAAATAAAAACTAAAATTAAATTACTATGGATTTAAAAATTATTTTACCATTTCTTCAAAAAAAAATTGAGCATAAGATTTGTACTCACAAATTAGCAAAAAAAGAGTGAAACTAGCTTAATTAATCATTTGGTTTACTAATTCAAAACCGCAATTATATGATTTGACTTTATTAGAGAGGGATGATAGTCTTCTCAACATGGAGAAGATATTAGATGACCAAAGAGATTATTCATTAAACTGCAATAATATGACTTCCATTTATAAAGGATGATTGATTTTAAATGAATATTTATTTGTTAAAGCCTACTTCTCGACATGGAGAAAATTTGGAAATAAAAAATTAATTATAATTGAAAAAAAAGGTAATAATTATTTAATTTGATCTTAATAAAATAGCAATAGAATCTCGTAATTAAATAGGAATAGGCATATTCCTAATTCTTATCTTAGATTATAAAATTATTTTTTTAAATTAAATGTTTCATGTCCCATCAAATAAAATTAATTATGAGTTTCAAAAAAAAACATTCTAACTCGATTTTGGATATTCAATAAGGAACCGACAAATATCTTATCACTACAGATCTCAGCTATGTCCCTGTTTAAAACGCCGAAATAGGTGCCATAATACAAGGCCAACACGAAGTAATATATCCAAGTAATGGGCAACATCAGGATTATGTTCAATCCAAAGAACCACACTAAAAGCCCGGAATATCCTATGATCCCCAGGCCGTAAGATATTTTGAAAACGATATAAAACCAAGTGTAAACCAATCTAAATAGCAAAAATAAAAGGAGTATAATTTACTAAAATTGGTAATACAACCTTGGAATGTTTCTGTCCATAGGCTTTTGTCTTGATTTGAAGATCATGTACAGGGTAACGATACTGTAAATAAGATGGACCGTTACGTATCTAAGGTATAATCTATAGACAGATATGACGAGTGGTATGACCCACATCCCCAGAGTGGTGGCCATCTATATCAAATTTTGTTGAGTGATAAAACATCTATTCAAATGTTACTCATTAAATTGATTGCCTACGGTCATATTTATAGATTTTGTCTTTCTTATGTTTATATCTTTAATAAGATGATTATGATTTTTATTTTTATATTTAAATATCGTTTTAAATTAAATTATAGTTGTTAATAAGATTATTGAATTGAATGGATAATTGATTTTGAAAGAGATATATATATCAGAGACATGTTTGGCCCGGCCCTAAGCCCGGGTACACAGGCCGGGTCATATTTTAATTTATCTAAATATACCCGGACTGGGCTTGAAATTTTTTTTTAAAAATATACAGGCATTGACGAGGCTAAAAATAATTTTTTTTAAAAAAAATACCCGGGCCAGACTTTATATTTTAAAACCAAATATTTAAATCGCTATTATTAACTATAAAAATTAAAAATATCATAATACTTTATGAACTTTTATTTCTGTATATATATTTACAATTATAATATATTATTTATTCATTTATATTTTTTGACTAAAGTAATAATATAACATTAACCAATATATCCATAAGTTATCAAACATATTATGAAAATTAACATAATATATATATTAATTTAAAAAAATATATAATAATTAATATTTGTATATATATTTATATACATATAAAAAAAAACATTTTAAAAAAATAAATAAATATAGTATTGGAGGATATGTTTGTGACGGTGTTAAAAAAAAATAAAAATAAATTTATTGAGGTTAGGAAGGATAATCTTGTGGGGAGAGACTGCCTATGAAGCTAATATAATTAGCCTTGTGTATTGCGATGGAGAGCCTTTGCCTTAAGAAGAAGCCCTCGCGGGGTTCACCGGTTAGTTGACGAATGTGGGAGCCGAGTTCCTTGAAAAGGGATAAGGCATATTTCCCAAAAGTAGTAAGGGTAGTGGAAATAATGGGGATGAAAATATATTCTTGAGAGATTTCGGAATATTTCGCTATTTTGAGTGTCTCCTTTTTCTCGAGTATATTGACTGTTTGATTTGATGGAGCGAGTGGATCAATACAAGAATAGTCCCAGATCAGGAATTGACCGCGCTTCCAAGGAATTTGCGAAATACCGTCAGGCCGTTTCCCATCAGATCTGAAAAGACCGGATGGTTCAAGAGTGGAGGGGATTTGAGCAGATCTAAGAGCTCTAAGAATGATCGAATTGCATAGATTATGTCTTACAATTCGACCTTTACATGAGCGACAATGAAGACTATGTCTTCCATTGCCCAAAACTGCGGAGCAGCAACCTGAACAAATGTGGGGTTGGGTAATAAGGCAATTTAAACGGATACCGATAGCATGTGTGAGCTCGTTTTTATTTAGTTGTAATTGCAGATTAATAGACGGAATGGCCTCGAGAAACTCATGGCCTGAACCATTAAGCAAAGAAGAAAATAAGGGACGGTCAGATAATTGAATTCTGGAAAGGAGTGATTCAACGCAGAGTGCAATAATAGGCCTATCCCAGTCCTTCTGCTTATTAGACTCAGGAAGAGGGTGATCCGCAGAAATTCGTGTCCTCCATTCGATGATTGCATCATTAAAAGAAGAGTCGGGTTTTAAAGAATTGGGATTTATTATGTTTTTAGTTAGTAGGCAACTGGATATAAAGGCTGTTAAGGCGAGATCAGATGGAGATCTGAGGCCCAGACCTCCCATCTTTGTGGGTAAAGAAGCTTGTGTCCAAGCAATTTCATGGAATTTAAGATTTAGAATGTTTTCGATAAGGATTTTGATCCCATTATCATAAACTCCAAGTGGAATGGGGAATTTAAATATGGCAGTTGAGCGAAGTGCGTAAAGAATACGGGGAATATTGAAAAAATTTTTCACCAGGAAAAAGGCTTTATGAGAAGGAAGAAAAGAAAATAAATCTGCCAGCTCTAATAAAGTATCCAAAGTGGACTGAAGGAAGAAAAGAAAATAAATCTGCCAGCTCTAATAAAGTATCCAAAGTGGACTGAAGAAAGAAAGAAATAGCAGAGTTACCACCAACAGGGGCTCCCAGATGATAGAGACCGTCAAGAGTCGTTAGTTTGAATTTATTAGTATTAGGTTCGATTGTATTGATAGGGATAAATTCTTATTTCTCTGGATTAATGGAGAGTCCTATAGCTGATCCGGCCTCCTTGATGATGTTCACAGCTTTATTGACTTCAACATTGGATCCTCCAAGGATACCATCATCAATGTACCAGGAATGCAAGGATAATGAGCAGACCGAATTGATGGATTTAATGATGTCATTAATACCTAAACAAAAGAATAGGGAACCTAGGGGGTCTCCCTGCTGAATGCCCTCGACGGAAGGGATTTTAAAGGTATCAAACAGAAGAGTGGAGGGCTGTTGATAACACGAATAAAAAAACTTAGTGTAACTGGGAAAAAGATTACTTGAGGAACTCAAAAAGGAGTTCCGGGAGAGTGTGTTGTAAGCATTAGAGAAGTCAATTTTTATCAAGGATACATTAGAAGGTAAATTTTCAAGATATAAACTGGACAAATGTACAACAGCTTCACAGCCACCAGGGATTCCTACACCAAGTTGGAAGGGACTTAGGAGACGTGAAGCATCATGCTTAATTCGAGATGATATCATCTTGGTTACTAATCGGCGAAAGGTAGAACCAATGGCAATGGGTCTGATATCATTATTAGGTTTTTGAAGAGCAATTAGCCTGGCACCAAAGAGGATAGGTGAAACGAAATTTGGAACCTCACCGTTTAAAATTTTGTTGCATAAGTTTGTTAATTTGGGGAGAACGGATGTTTGTGAGCATGTAGAGGGGGAAGTGATGTCCTGGAGAAAAATGGGGCGTATGCCATCGAGCCCATTGAAAATAAATATATTATATTTTAAAAAATCCGGGCTAGGCCGTGCAAATGGTACCTCTGCATGTCTCTGAAATATATATGGTGAAAAATGCATATCATATAAACCCGACCTCCTTAGAATTTTATTAAAATTTATATTGGTAGTATATACTATGAATAAGAAAAAAATGAAATTTTATTTCTTTAAATCAGTTATTTGCCAAGATATGGACGTTAAAGAGCGAAAAATGGTATATTTTTGACAAAATGCACTTCATTAATTTTCAAATATCTCAAGTATAAATTAAGTTGGAGTAAATATATATAGTAATAGATCTTTATATGACATAAAAACAAATATGATAGAAACCCAATTAATACCAAAATCCGGAAATACAAAACAGGAAATGGTCATAGAAAAAAGTATTTTTTTCAAAATTTTTTTTCTGTAGATGTTACCAGATCGCTTTATAATTGTCAGAGACCTGCAGGCCCGGCCCTAAGCTCGGCCTGGGTACATGGGCCGGGCCTAAATTTTTTTAAAAAAAATATCCGGACCGGGCCGTATACTTTAAAACCAAATATTTGAAATTGCCATTATTAGCTATAAAAATTAAAAATAAATAAAATATATTTAAGAAAAACCCGGGCCAGGCTATACAAATGTTACCTCTGCAGGTCTCTGATAATTGTACAAAATTCTAGACTAGGTTGAAGGTGGGTATAGGAGTTATGACCCTTTATATGGCTATGATCAATTAACATATATAATATCATCATATTTAAATTTATACTTAAGTAATAATTTTTATTTAAAAGTTATGTTTGAATGAAAGGCCCTTACTTTATTATTCAAAAAAATTATTTGAGAGTTGGATGGCGGGGGGGGGGCTGTGTTGGTTAAATTTTCTCTCGAAATTACTAGACAAAATAATTTTAAATCTTTTATTTTAGCATAAATCAAAAATAAAAGAACGACTATTTATTAGAAGCGTATTCAATAGATTATGTAACATTTCTTGAAACGCTAACAAAATCCGCAAAATAATTTTTAGGTTATTTAATCAAAAAAATAAATAATTTGATTCCTCATTCCTATAGCTTCACAACTATCCTTATTTCAAAAATTATTAAAATCCAATTCATATGTTGGATAATTTTCAATTATTGCCAACTTTTAAGAAAATTATGCATTTGTAATGCTGGACCATGCATAAAGATTTCATTCGACCAATAATCGGGCCACTATCAACCCTTTTATGATTTATTACCGTATAGAAGACATTTTAAAATATGAAAATTTTGTGGTTATATCAGATTGTTTAAAGCGCAACACACGTGCATTTTATTTATTTCAAACAAAATTGAACCTATTTTTGAAAGAAAGATTTAGTAGAGTGGCCAAGATTTATTATTTTTCTGATGGGGCAGTAACACAATATAGAAATAAAAAAAATATTCATTAATCTATACAATCATGAAAATGATTATAGGATAAAGGCTGAATGACATTTTTTTGCAACCGCACATGGTAAAAGTCCTTGAGACACTTTAGGGGGTGTTACAAAACGGTTAGCAGCTCAAGCAAGCTTGCAGCGTCTGTATGAAAATCACATATTGGCAACAATGGATTTATTTATCTATGCAAGAAATAATATCCAAGGTGTAAATTATATATTTGAGCAATAATAAATATCTTGGTATGGAAAATCACCTTTAAAGCTGGTTTTTGGGGTAAAGCGTATTTCTAGAACACAGAAGTTCTGTACTTTATTACCCTAGGCTAAAATAAAATAAAAGTCAAAATTTATTCAATTCTTCAGGTTATTTAATATATGATATATTTTAAATAATATTATAAATTTCTGATAGTATTATATGTAATCATAAGTTATAAATATGTTTAGAATTATTTTGTTAAGTAATTTCGAGAGAAAATTTAACCAGTGTTAAATAAGGCAAATTATCCCACCCACCTCTCAAATATTTTGTTAAAGATAATAAAAAAAGTAAGAGCCTATAATTTAGACTTAATTTTAAATAAACATTTATTATTTTTCATTAAATTTAAACATGATGATATTTATGTTAAATTTGATCAATTTTAGCCATATAAAGGGTCACAACTCCTAGACCAACGTTTAACCCAGTCTAAAATTTTGTAGATATCTATCTATAAAAGAAAAAAAATTTGAAAAAAATGCCCCTTTTTTCTATGGCTTTATACGGTTTTATATATATGGTTTTAGATTTTAAACAGATTTCTATCATATTAAATAACTATTATTAAGCTATATAATATAATTTAAATTATTTTTCGAGATATAAGAAAATAAATGAGGTGCATTTCGTCAAAAATTTACCATTTTTTCCCCACTTTAAGTTCCTATATTTTAGCGGATAAACAGTGTTGGGAGGTAAAATTTCATTTTTTTCTTTTTCTCAGTTAAGATATATTTTACCAATATACAAAATTTAAAAAAAATCTGAGGGAGTCGGGTTGAAAATCAACCGTTTTTTGTTGATTTGATATGTAATTCACCTTATACCTGTAATTTGATTTTAAAGAAGTGGATGATTATTATAATTCGGAATAATAAAGATTTTATTTCTCTAGATTTTAATGAAAAGATTTCGTTTAAAGATTGCCTAGCTAATAGCTGAAAAAAACGGAGTACTCGGGAATAACTACTTTTAGGTGTATAAAATATTTTTGAGAGGCGTGTTGAAATCAAAATTTTAGTCCCGGGTCGGGTTAGATTTATTTGACCAGTACCCTGCCCGGATTTTTATTTTTGATTATTTAACTATCCGAACCCATTTTTTTAAAAATAAATAATTTAGTTATTTCGGATATTTTTGACAAATATGAGCAATATTTCGAAAAACTGAGATTTAAATTTATCAATTTAAAAATGGGAGCAGACCTGATTTTTTAAAATTATACGATTCGGTTCCTAGTCTTATTCGGGATTATTAAAACGATTTATGATATTACTATGCCCATTCAGAAAATTATTAAATTGCATTCATACATTTCGTTGGCGTTTCATATGAAACATTCATTTGTTTGCATCGGAACATTTTTTTTATATTTCCGATATTCCTTTTATTTCGTCTTATTAGCTATATTTTATTTTCGCTTTTCTTTAAAAAAATTTCGATATTCAACTTCAATCAATCGAGGTCTGTTCTCAGTTAAGTAAAATGTTTTATCATGGGAAAGAATTGTTTTTAAAAAATTCAAATACCGCCGCCCAAGCTCCTTATCGTATACCAATCGCCTCAAATGGAGAGATTTTGCATCGCTACGTATGCATATATATATATATCGGCTAAAGAATCCATTTTTTATCGTGATTTTTATGACGATTCTTATACCTAACGCCTTTTTCCGTATCCCAGGCCTTTGCTCTTTTTTGGGGGAATTTTTTAAAATATCGTTTGGCTGATTTCATATCCTACATCCGCCTTATTAAGGGCTAATGCCAGTTTGCACAAGTGAGTCTTTGGGAGAGACTACTCTCGTTCTTAGCTCCATATTTAGTCTCAGTTATGACACACTCGCTGCAAACTGATCTTCTGTAGCTCTAAATATGTACTTCAAGGCTAACATTTTCAATCTTTAAAAAATAATTGCGTTTTCATCATCTTTCCAATGCATTTTCTTATGTCACTTTCTTTATAGTATCTTAATAACACTGTTTTATATTTCATCAAAACCTGCTTATTTTAATTTCAAAAAAGAAAAAATAATTGTTTTATCTGAGATATTATTAAGATTACTATAAAAACTAGAATTAAAATATATTACCCAAATCTATAACAGGAGAATCCTCTCTCATTGAAAACATAATTGATGTGTTTAGTCTTTAGGTTATAGATATGCAAATCACAGTCTGGCCCTTACCCCACCCAAATATTTATAAAATATTATCAGTTGGGCTAGATTGGGCTTAAATTTTTAAATATGATACCATAAATTGATATATTTTAAACTTGCAAGAAACAAAGCATTACTATTTTTTATTTGTAGAATATTTTTTTTACAATAAAAAAAATAAATAAATTTTTATATATTTAAATAAATTCAGCCTGGCGGAAAAATAATTTTTATTATGAGTTAAGCGATTTGAACCAAATAAAAAAAAATTTGTTCGGGATCATGTTTGACATTTTTTTTTGAAAAATTTCAGGCTAAGCCAGGCTTGGGAAATTAGTGGGTCCACATTTAAAAGAAATATAAATGATGAGAAAGAAAGAGTGTTATACAAGACATTGCACCAGTAGTAATTTTAAAAAATCCCTTTATATTGATATTATCAATTTTGTCAACTTTATTGATTAAGGTCAAATATGGATTTTTTTTTAAGAAAGTCAAAAAAATAAAATATAAATAAACTAAAGAAAGAAATGAAATATCCAAAATATAAAACATTTTGATACAAATGAAATAAATATCCATAAAAATGTAAATGACATAAATATTCATATAAATGAGAACAAATTATATTAATGCAATTTCATAATTTTGAAAAGAACACAATATAACTGATTAAATATATATCAAAGACCTGCAGGCACAGCCTAGAATGGATAGATAAATAATATGATTCTAAATATCCTGATCAGGTGAAAAAAAATTTGTGCCAAGCCAATTTAAAAAAATAATTAAAATTATCAATTTGAAAAATCTTATGAATATTTTATAAACTGCTCAATTTTAATTTAAAATGATATATAAAATACAAGCAAAATTTTATACAGAGCTATAAATCCTGGTCAAGTATGAAAATTAATTTTTTTAAATTATAGGTTATTAATGTACCTGATAAGATTTAAAATAAAAATGCCTCCAATAAAAAAGTGCTATTTGAGCCAATATCATGGTAACTATTATTATAAGAACCATTTCGGCATGCATTGTTTCGTGACCTTGATGTTCTATGTGCCATTTTAAATGTTTGTCTCTATTATATTATAGATTTCATGGTAAATAATGTTATTACTGTGCACTAATCGGATTTGAACCATTTTGATAAAGGGAAATATTATCAAAAATACTAATATTGACATTCTGTATATAAATATATAAGAATTACATCATATTTGTATAACTTTTGGTGCATTTAATATCTTCATTTTTGAGATCACAGTTTTTTAAACCGATCTTTAAAGCGTTGCTAAATTTTAAAGGTGTAAAATTAAAGGGACATTTGATTTTCCGACTTTTTTCAAGTAAATTTTTCTCACCTTTAATCAACCTCAATATATTTTATTATACTTATATTATAGCTATGATAACTAGATTTCAATAAAGAAGATTAGTAATTTAATGTATATATAAAAGATGGAACAATAATTAAAATAAATTATTCGATTTAAAAACATACGATAAATCGCAGCATATAAGTTGTTGGTATGGATAAAGGCGCCAAAATAAGATGCAATTCTCAAATGTTGCCTAAACTTAAAGGCAAAAGGGTATGCCTTTTGGGAAGAGTTACTAATGTATAATAATTTAAGTTTTAATATTTAATTTTATCATTTAAAATATAGATTGACAAATCTCAAAGAGCCTGTTATATAGTTTCTAGTGATGAAAAAAGTGTAAAAGTTATCATGAAAGATCAGGTTTATTACAAATTAATTTGATTAAGCATGCATTTAGATTTTGGTAAAATAAATATTCATATATTTCATGCTAATAAGTTTAAAAAATTATACATTCATTTTTGTTGATTTTATATTTTTTAGCTTTTTTAATATATAGATTTTGAATTATCCAAAAAATATTTGTGAAATATATGGTATGGTAGATGTTAACTGTAACATTATTTGTGATTCTTTTACTTGCTTAGATGATGTTGAAGATGGACATGAAGCTTTTGGTATAAAACAATTTCTCTATTACTACAATTTGAATACATACATAAAATATCTTGTTAAAAGGTAGGCTTCTAATAAGATTAACAGTGGAAAAAACATTTTTAAATTTATATATTTCAAAAAAAGATTTTAAAAAAAACCTATAATTGATTTATGACATAATTTTGATATGAAAATTTTTTTTAACCATTTGGGTTTTCTTTAACTTATCTATATATTTGATTTTTTTTAAAAAAAAGTTAAATTTTAATGGAAAATTAGAAATATTGTTTTCTGAATAAATAAGGAATAAAATTTATTAAAATTTTGCACAATTTTAAATATTAATCATGTTTTTCTGATTCAATATTATCATCAAGTAGCTAATTTCCTTTTTTTTCTATATTTTATTTCATTGGCCAACTGAGGAGGCTAATATTATTACCAGTGAAACTATTTTTATTTTTTCAACATTTACAATATTTACTCACTGCAAATATTAATATCATTGCCAAGAGGGCAGATATTATTAATAATGGGTTTATTATTATCATTGCTATTTCAGTCGGGGGGGGGGCATTAAAGGCAACAAGTTCTACGAATTAAAATAATTATCTTTAGGTTTAAATTATTTTCCACATCCCAAAATTTGTTATATATTTTTTTTAGATTTTAGTACCTATGATCAAGCAATAAATTTAGCCCATAATTTCCCAAATTTTTATGTGACAAAATAAGAATATGGAAGGAAAAAAAATTGACATTTTTCATCTTTTAAATCAAATGATATGAAAATAAAAATTGGATTTAAAAAAGAAAAGAACTATTATTTAACTTATAAAAATTATATTTTATTGTAGTAAAATAATATTACATATATATCATGGTTGTAAACAAATTATTTCCTATGTATTATATAAAGTTAATTTCAAAATATAAAGATATTTGTTGAGCAAAAATAATAAATCACACACTTCGATCCAGTTTTTTTAATATTTCCTAAAGCATATAATTTTATTCATTAATATTTATCAGAGACCTGCAGGCCCAGCCTGGGTACCAGGGCCAGGCTGTATTTTAAATTTTTAAAATATACCCGGGTCGGGCCTGAAAACCGTATTTTTTTTAAAAATTTATACAACATGAATTATTATATTTGTCAATTAGATATGGTTATAATGATTATATATAGTTATGATTAATATAATGTTTGGTGAAAGTTAACACTAGCTAACACTCATAGTATCTATTACATAATAAAATTATAGTTTTCCTGCCATGGAATAAATACGCAAAGGATTAAATACATTATTATATAATATATCTTATATTTTTTATAAATACATAGTATATTCTCAAAATTTTATTTACACAAATTTTTTATAGTATCAATTTGTAATATACTAAATATCTGAAAAAAAATAAATAGTGTTGTTAAACAGCTCGTTTTGAGCCGATTTTTAAAAACGGCTAACTCAGTGTTTTATCCAGAAAAATATTATGCAAGCATGAAAATTTTGCTCATAGAAGGAGAAAAGGTCTAGACATATAGTATCGAAATTTTAAAAATCGCCTCAAAACGAGCCGTTTAACAATATTAGCTAATATCCTTGCTTATTTAATGATAATACTCGCCGAAAAATATGATAAAATACGAAATAATAAATTTTTTGAATATACCAGGTCGATTATAATATTTAAAAATTACGAGCCAGGCCTAAAAAATTTTTTTTTAATATTCGGACCGGGCCGAAAATTTTTTAATCTTGGCCGGGCCATACAAATGGTACCTCTGCAGGTCTCTGATATTTACCATTAATAAATCTATAAATTATTTTTATAAAAATCAAACATTAGCCTAATGTTTTATTATTTAGGCTAATAATCGGGCCATTTAACAATGCAACATAATCTGTATGAGTCTTAAACCTGAACCAGTGACATAACCATGAGGATGGTTTCCTCCCCCTCCAAACTAAAAATCAAATGCAAATTATGCATTTAAAAAGGTTCAAAATTTACTTTATATTCAAATAAATTATTATAATTGGTTAATGCCAAAATTTTTTAAAAAAATTACACCTTCTATTATACGACCATTAATTACGAAATTAGTATTTAGTCTGTACTTCTAAATTTAAAATTTCAACCTATGGAAAATTGTCTACATCATATTTATACTTTAAAGTGGGCAAAACTTGTATTGGATTTTGTGAGTGCTGTTTTCTTGAATGTGATAGGCTAGATTCTTAGAAATCGGAATTACAACTAAGAGAAAGAGATTATTGTATATTGACTTTACCAAAAATGACTATTTGTTGTTTTCCTTTAAAAATATTTATTACTCCATTATATAATTGATTTTTCGGTATATATTGTATGTAAAATATTACAGTGGCGATGTGTCTTATAGAAGCAACGGTTCCATCAAAACATTACTATTAAATATATACATTTTTTTTAATATTGCTTTAAAAATTAATATTATTATAAAAAATTAATATATATTTTTCCATCATCTTTTGAAGAAAAAAATTAAGTATTACAATTTGAGTAACTATAACTAGCCACTTGGTTGGGTATTTACTATATGTTTAGCTTTTTTAGCCGGCTAAAAAAATTTGTTAACCGAGTCTTTAGCTGAAAGCCATCATTTTGGCCTTGGAATTTTTCTTAAAAATATAGCACCTCAAATTTGGAAGATAACAAATTAATATGCCTTAATGTTAACGTTATTTCTCTGGCAGGCGCCTGATGAGTTAGCCGGCATTTCGCCATTACCCAACTTTACTAGCCATGTTTCAAATAAGGCAACTTATGCTATGTAACTTGTTGCGTGTTGGGCGAGATAACTTATTACATGTTACTACACTTTAACAATACTTACGGTTTACCTGAGGCATTCGCATTTTAATCAACCCGAGAAAAATAATATCACATTTATAGCTACCCCATATTTTAAAAAATTTCCCGATTTTTTCAAAAACTTTACAATTTCGATTTCGTTTTTTTTATCATTATTATTACGAAAATTATGTATAAAATAAATTTTTTTTATAAAATTATAAAATAAAATTATAATATCGTATCAGTTTGTTTTTTCTTAAATCAGCCCCATCTATTTTTGTAGTTAGATTTGAACCGATTTTTAAAAACGGCTAACTCAACATTTTATCCAAAAAAATATTATGCAAGCAAGAAGATTTTGCTCATAGATGGTAAAAAGATTTGTATTATCGAAATGTCTAGGCAATATTTTTTCTGGTAAAAATATTAACTTTTTCGTTTTCAAAAATAGGCTCAAATCGAGCCGTTTAACAGCATAATCCATTTTATTTAAAATGGTAAATAAGACACCGATCGACTTTTTATATATTAATAATAGCAGGCGAAGTCAATATTTTATTAAAATGCTACTGATTTGTAAAAAAAAATATATATGAAAATAAAACCAATATAATAAATAATACTTTGGCAATTTAATATAATACTATAAAAAAATTACGGTTTAAAAAGTGTGTCATAATTCAAAAGATCGATACTCAAAATTTAACCGGTATGGTATAAAATTAATAGAAAATAATTTTGGCTATAAAATCCTACGTTTGTTGAGATACAATTTTTATGGCATCTGATATTGGTATAGCTCTTAAATAATTGATCTCAACTTTACGAAATTTTAAATTCTCCTGGCTCGTGACTTTATTATCGTTGTGTAAATACTCTGGTTTAGTCTCCAAAATTCCTAAGGATTCCAAAAATTTGAGGGCAAAATGATCGCTATCAAATTCAATTAAGGAAGGACTATCGGAAGATTGATGATTATCGGGTTTAACTAATATTTGATCATCTAGCCAGTTTTGGATTTGAGACTCAACAGTGGCTTGAGATATGTAAAGCTTGTCATCTAAAATTGCTATTCATATAAAAGATAAATTATATAATCCCATTATATTTATAATAGCGTTTTATGACAACAACTTAGTCTACATTGTTATGGCAAAAACTTCAATCATTATAAAGATTAGCAAAATTTTGTCAATTGGGATTATGGTTAACATCAAACTTGTGTTTAATAAGTATAAAATAATTGAGCAAAATTAATTAACCAAGAAACATAAAAAAGTAAAAAAATCTAATTATTAACTCGTGTAACTTTCTTTTTTTTCACTTTGAGTCGCGTTCAAAACGTGGATATATAAAAGAAGACTTTCGTTCAATCGCTGTTGTACACATTTGACCAAAAGTTTGCTCAAAATCAAGCTTTCATCTTCGTATAAACTGTTTTAAATAATTTATAGTAAATTTATGTGTGACAATAATTAAGACTCATTAAGGTACGATAATTTTTTTTTTAAAAAAGCCTTTTTGCTTAGACTCTTTAGAATAACTGATCTGGGTTATATCGTACACCACTTAAATCAAGATGTTGGGTGTGTCCGACCTCTTTTAGAAAATCCGTTTTCTATTAATTCCTGCTATCAAATTTCCGCTAAAAAGAGTTTAAAATTCTTAAACCCGAATTGGGCCAGAACTCCGCTTAAATCTAACCAACTGTCCCTAACTTCATTTACCAATAATTCGTCTTTTAATCAAGTACACTATTCCAAATCTGTCTATTTTATTTCCCTTTCCTAAATTATCCAGTAATTCGCAACATTTAGGAACGCCATATTTAGACAAATGGATTATTAAGTCACATTACATTTAAACATACATTCTTTTCTTTTAACTTATTTTTTAATCATTTATTATTTCAATTTTCTAAAATTTATATGTAATTCTTAGGCCTTCTTTATTTATATTTTTTTTAATTTCGTAAACTCCAAATGGTTAGTTGTAATTAATTCATAGATTAGAGTTTGCGCTATATTACACTCTTGCAAGGAATGTTAAGATAAAAGAGAACATAATTAAATTTCGCCTTTTATCTTGTAAGAATTAGAGGTGTGGATGCGGCCTAAAATCCCAATGGCATGGGTAACGTTGCGAGCGTGAATATAATTGAAAAAGTAAACTTCTTTCCTTGGACATTTAATTCAAAATAAGCGGCATTTTAATTTTACTCCCAAAACAACGTGTTATTTATTCTTTTTTTGATTTTCATTAAACTTTTTCAAATTTCATCTTGAGAAAATTAGCAAATAAATTTTTTTATAGCAGCAGAAAGTTTGGCATCTAGAAAATGTTTATTTTATTTAGCCAGAGGAACACAACTGACATTCTTAATATAAAATTTTGACTTATAAATGTGTAAGTGGTGAATTCTTTACCACATAAAATGTAGACGATTTTAAATCATTTTTGAAGAATTATTGAAATTTTTATAACAAAATAAGTTTTAAAAAGTTAGGAATTATATTTTAAAAATAATCTAGGAATTTTTCGGGTATGAAGAGTGTGATCAAAATTTTGTCCTTCGTGAATGGGAAAGTCCGGGTTAAAAAAAATGAACTTCCAGCATAGGGCGTGAATATTTTTAGTGTGGGGGTAAGGGGATGGGTCGTTGATAAAAGAATTAAACCCGCGACCCTCTAATAAAAATATGATAGACTTTAAATTATCGCAAATTTAATTATGTATCCATTATTCCAATTCAAGTAACCTCGGATTTTGGTTGCTAGTATCTTTCTCCAAAGGAGAAATATCCAATTGTTCGGCCACCATTTTGCATCCTTCCACATGGTTGGTCCACGTTACTCGGCTGGAAAGAAAAGCTAATATACCGGCAAGCCTATCTAAGGTGAGAATTTTGAGAGTAAAAACCAAATTGGCAAGGGAAAGAAGGTCGTTGAGAGGTAAGGGAAGAAAGGGTAAAACTGAGGTGTATGTATTAGCGAGCAAACCCGAAATACCGAGAATACCCGATATATATGCAAGCAATTGTCTGCTCGGGGAGCACTTTACTTCCGGTACGTATCTCCAAAGCCGCCATCTTGCTACTTTTAAAGCGCAGAAAATAAAAGGTGTCATAAAAAAATACAATTAAACAAAAAGATATATCGATACAAATAAAATTTAAGCAGTAATATTAATTACTCATAATACTATAGTACCTCCTAAGTTTATAGTGTTATAATCGTTCTTACGGTTAGATTAATTGATTTTGCAAGTAAGAAATATTTTTTAAAAAACCATCTGAAAAGGTTGATGATGACGTGACTGAAAGATAGTCTCGTAATATGAACGTCTTTAAATGATGTTCTAAGTAATGAGATTCGGGCATATTAGGCTCGGGGGATTCGATATGAAGCAAACGATTTGCACTGCCATCAGAATTATTGGTAGGATTGTAGAGGATCAAATAGCCATTTGGGTATGAAAGGTTGCATTTATTCGTGGTAGAAATATGAGAGTTCCTTTTAAGTAAGATATTTAGAATGCATGCAAAAGTGATGCAAAATAAGTTTTAATAATATTTCATAATTTTATTTTCAATTCTATTATCTGGGTTAAAAATGTCACTACATTACCTTAATAATGTAATATTTATTGAACAATGTCATTATTATCTCGATATTCATGCAGGTTTTTTCTTTAATTTTTTTATAAAGGTTTAAACTATCTTTAAGGCACACCCTGACCTCCCCCTCAGATGAATTTACTTTTGTCTTAGGTGAACCTAATTGTTTAAAATAATTTTGGTTCATAGTTATGACAAAAATCAGGCCGGGCCTAATAATATTTAGGCCAGTGTTGCAGATCTTTACTTTGAACTTCAAAACACTTATATCTCTGTTCTTTGGCAAATAGTTTGCTCCCATAGACATCTGAGAATCTTTATTCAGTATATCATAGAGCAATAAAAAAACAGATATTGGAACATAACTTCATATACAGTCACTAGAATTTATATGTCATAAAATGTTGTATATATAATACATTATATATGATACCTAGCCACTTTTAGATTCAATAAGCCTTTTAAATAGGAGAAAGAAGTATTAAGATCGTGTTTCTGTTTAAGGTAACTTAGCATTCTGTCAGGGCTTTCGAGAGTCCAACCCACCAATGTTTTCATTTTGTCTGGATTTAATCTTATCTTTTTAGTTTTTTTTAAAAAATTTATAAAAACAAGACAATTCTAGGAACTTAACATCCCAGGGGTCAGGATAAAATTTTTTTTAAAAAAACACATTAAGCTGTTTCCTTTAATAAAATGATAATTAAAATTTAAATATTAATTAGAATAAATATAAATATTAATTTAAAAATAAATCATAATAAATATATTAATATTATTTGATTTGAAAATAACAACTTATCTTGATTTATAATTTGTCATAACTTGTTATTATTGTATTTTAATTTCACATATCTAACATTAGTAAATTTAAATCAGAACTTATTAGATTAGATATTCTTCCAAATAAAAATAAGTTAAAAAAAAATAACAAATAGTATCATGTTTTAAATAAAGAATCATACATGATACAAAATAAATATGTAATTTAATTAATCAAAACACCTCCACAATTATGAATGACTATTATGCAATCTATTGCATGTTTAGAAATATGATAAATTTAATGAAGCCTCAAATCTAACTCCTTTTTTGAAAACTTAATATAATAATTTGATAATAAATTTTTATTTAAAAAATAATTAATATTCATGAAAATACTTTTATATTGTAGTTGTTTAATGTGATTGGATAGGATAGAAAAGCTTTTAATGTTTCAAATGGAATTGGAATATAATTACAATCATTTGCTAATTTTGTAATAAAATGCTTTTGCCAAAATTTCTGGTCAATTTCTCTGTCTAATTCATGAGTTTTGTTACACTGAAGTAATTTTAGTAGAAATACAAATTTTTTAATAAAATATAATAGTTCATTATTTAATAGAATCTATCTCATAAATAGTAAACCAGATATCTTACTTTTCTAAATGAAGAATTTTGATTTGCTTTGATTATTTTTGATAGCATACTAGTTAAAACTAATAATTGCTCTTGTTTTTCATTGTCAAATTTTATAGCTAATCTACTAGCTAACAATCTTACAGATAATGGTATATTTTTTTGTCTTTATATTATATGTATAATTAAAATCCATAAATAATAATTGTACTTAATATCACTTTTTGTTGGTAAGCTTAAAATTGGTTTTGTAATATTCTTTAAAATATCATCTTTTAAAATAGACAAGTATTTTATGGGTTTTGAATTCATTAATGTCTATACTATTAATCAAGTATTGCATTATTATCATAATACCTACATTAAATTTCTTTATAATCATCGAAATTTTTGCTAAAGTTAAAAACACATGTATTATTTACAATAAAGCAAGCAATAGAAATATTTAGACATTTATTGACATATATCATTAATTTTAAAATTTAAGAAATTCATAAATTATAACTCAAAATATGAATCACTTAGTATTAGTATAAAATTAAAATAATATGTTAGAAATATATCAAAATAAATTAAACCTTTATAGCAAAGGTGGAAGTGTACACCCAGTTAATTAATTTAAAAAACGTTATAAATCAAAATTCTTTTTCTCGAAAAAATTTTTGGACCTCAAATGGCCGCCAAAATTTTTCGATTCCCAAATTTAAAAAAATATTAGTCATTAAATTTTAATTAACAAGTAAATCAAAATAAAAATACAACATAATTTTTAAACAAATATTATTTAATTTATACAAATTAATAAACAACAATATATCAATAATAATAATATTAAATATAAAATATTTATTCCCTCATTAGCATCCAAGTAATGAATTTGAACAAAAATGATTCAGCAATTAAAAAATGCGTTAGCTGCAAAAAGGAACTGCCATATAATGAAAGCTTAAAGAGCTCATTTAAATTTAATAACAATATGGCATAATAAAAATCTTAATATAAATAGAAAAACTGAGTTAACAACAATTCTGATAAATGGGCAAATAAACGGTTATCATTATTATTTTAATCAATATTTGATTGTAAGCCTACAGAAGCTACATTTTCGTAGGCAGGTAAACAAAAATTACGGTTGCTGCAAAAGTTGAAAACATAGTTTATATAGCAATATTTTCATACAGCATCCAAAAAGATCCTGAATAAAATAAAATTATGAAATGAATAAAAAACTCAGAATATACATCACCCAAATTCAAGTAGTCTAATCTATTGATATATGGTGTTGGAATATATAACATATAATAAAAGTTAAATGCTTTTTTTTGTCTTAAGGCTGATGAGACAAATGATGCATCAGGTTTAACCAGAGCATAATTATTCATTATATTTTTTTGTGGAAAAATTTAAGTAATAAGAATCATAAATTTACAATGTCTTTATGCCGAAAGCATCATTAATTATATTTTCAAGCATCTGAATTAAATATTAATTCACCGAATATAATTAGCCAGACATGTGATGGTATAAACGTTATCTCTAACTAGGATGTGGGTGTGTAAACATTGCTTCAAAATAAATTAATAAAAGTTCTTTGATATATTAATATTGTATTTTTTTTAAATTTATCATGCATTTATAATTTTTGTAGGCATTTTAAGGTATCCTGTATGCGTATAATTTGTGAAATATTAATAGATTCCCTAAATAAGTATTAAGGGTCAGTAGGTACTACTAGAGCGGATGAAAAAGTGTATTAATTCCACAATTAATATACATAAAAATTAAAAATGATAATTCTTTTGATTTGATAAAAATTGGCCGAAAACTTAAATCAATATTTAATCTCATCCCTCAAAAATCATCAAATTTACTTTTAAAACACTTACAAATCCTTAAGATTTTTTAAGCAATATAAAATTATAATTTGTTTGTGAAAAAGACTTCAAATGGAGTTCTATAAAAAAGAGTTACGAAATTATTGTAGATCGCTAAATTTACATAAGATGATTATCTCAACCATGTTCTAAAGTCATCCCCGTAAACCTGATTATTTTTATATCAAATAAAATAGCCTCATTCTAATCATTATTGTACTTAAATGTGGAAACGTTTATATCATTTAAAAAAATAGAAAAAGGATTATTAACGGCAGAGGTTATCGTAAATATTATGTATAAAAAAAATATCATCTTGCATCTAAAGAATTGTATATATGCTACTCAGCAGCATTACCTTATGTGTATCAACGGCCTCTGTGAGACCTCATTCTCTACATTAAAAAGAGTTCTATCCAGAAACTAGAGAATCGATGAAATATCGACGTAAATAAAGTAATAATTTAGCATTTATTTATGTTAGAATTTCAAAATATAAATCGTCGAGTATTATTTAGTATTCATATTTACATTTACAAATTTTGAATTGAAATAGAAATTTTTTTTTATGAGTGCCTAACTATTTGTTTTAGTTCAATAATATTGCCCCCCCCCCCTAAGTAAGCATTTGTCCCCTTCCCTCCAGCAAGGAATTCCTGGCTATAACCTTGATTTTTTGGCAAAATATATATGTTTGCTTTTTATTTTGCTCAGTATTTTATAAGTTATAATTGTTTTTTGAAGCATAAATTTAAATTTCATTTAATCAGTGTATAACCTTATATATATTATATATATATATAATCAAAAAACGGGAATTAATCAATGTATTTATAAACATGAAAAAATTATTTTTCAAATCAACATCAATATTTTTTTTAAATAACACTTTGGATAATTTAAATCTTTTAATGATATTTTTTTCCTAGGTAAGGGGAGGGGGGTGGTAGTTTTATTTTTACTTATTAGCAAATAAACATAAAACTTTTAATCAAGATAGTAATCTAATCGTTTTATAATATTTTTTCCCCCTTTATTTTCTCATTATTTTTATTATAAAACAATTATTTCTATGATGCAATTGTTTGAATAGTAAATTCATTGACAGAATAATTTTTCAGATTGCATTTTTTAGAAAAATCAATTTTCATTATTATATTCTTCTATTTTCAACAATAAAAATATCAAAATTGAATTTAGAAATAATTATAAATTTGCATTATTATAAATGTAATTTTCTATTTAAAATACAATAATGCTAGTCGACAAATTATAAAAAAAAAACACATAATATAAAGAATTAATAATATTCTGAATAGACTATAAAAAAAAATTTTATCTACAAATTAAATCATAAATCTAGTTCAATAAAAATAAGATTAATAAATTAAATTTTTTATTTCAAAAAAATTTAATACAGTAACAGGTAAACAATTTGGAACTAAGCCACCCCCCCCCCCAAAAAAAAAAAAATTCTGGCCCCCTATAGAGTATATTTAGAAAAATTCTTATTATTGCTTTTAATTTTTGAAATGCTTAAGAAAAATTATAAATAAAAAAGTATAAACATAGCATAAATGATTTACCATATATTCCTTTATTGCATATTGTTTTTTATTTTATTATCTATAAATTTTATGTTGGACAATAATATTAAATAATAATAGCATAATAGCTAGGAATTCACTTAAAATAAATATATAGAATCTTATAAAACCGGAAACTCAAATAATTATTTGTAAAATGAACTCAAAATCATAAAGGTTCCCTTCCTGACTCCAATAAAAAATATTTAATAAGTTTGTAAAAACAGCTAATTTTCGAAATTCTAGCAAATTTTACCTAATCAATAATTATTAAAATATGATGTAAATGTTTCTTTTTTTGCCGATAAAATCTCTTAAATTTAACATTTTGTTCTAATTCTTATAAAAAATGTATTGCATACTCTAGAGGTCTACATTTGCAATGAGCGGGTTGTGACGCTCAACGTCTACCCGCACATTGTTTTAAAATTTTAACCTGTCCGCCTACATATTTACCTAAATTTTCCTCCCCCCCCCCCCCCACTTCATCTAATTGTTTTAATATTAATTTGGCTTTTGATTTATTTTTTTTAAATTAATTTTACTTAAACAAATAAACTTTTACATATTATAAATTTAAAAATTGTTTTTAATTAATAAAAGAAAGCTGTTCTGTTCAAAATATCTTAAATTGGCTATGCTTTGAATGAAATAAAAAGGTTCATAGATCTAGTAAGGTTGCTAAACGGCTCGATTTGAGGTGATTTTTAAAAACGGCCAACTCAATATTTCCCAAAAAAATATTATAAAAACCTGAAGATTTCAGTCATAGATGGCAAAAAGGTTTGCACATCTATTAGGCGAAATCTTGAGATTAAGTCAAAAAATTTTCTCCCTAAAATATCGAGTTGGCCATTTTTAAATATCGGCTCTAATTGAGTCGTTTTACAACACTAAGATCCAGATAGATATTTGGAAAAATAACAATAAGTATTGACGTAATCGGGGGAGGTAGAATTTTATTTTCCTTAGAAAAAGTTCTAGTTTTGGTAAATATCAGTTTAAGCTTAATAATTTTCCCCTGCCCCCTTTCGGCCAAAGGCTAAATGGAGATCCTAAAACATTCCAATAAAATTTACGGTGAAAAAAAAGGTAAACTAGAATTTATACATCCACACATTATAATGAGGGAACGATTAAATTAAGCCAACTAAGTCAGGGGTTAGCCGATTATTAACCAAAACTAACTATAGCTATTAGCTGTAATCATAAGAAAATGAATACGACCAAAAGCCTTAGTCAATTTAAACATATTGGATTAATTGAGCGATACTTTAATCTCGAATGTCGTTTATTGCGAGGTAATATTCCTAGAACGAAGGTAATATAGCATCCGCGAATTTTTTTTCCTCCAAACATTTATAATGAAGACAATATCGTGAACGCATTTAGAATATTTTTTCGCGAAACCAAAACATCGAACAATTTATGATTAAATTTTAGCTAACCTTTTATCGCTAACTCATTATAAAGAAACTTTTATAGCGCATATAGCTATTTACTACGAATGTATTGCATTTATTAAAATAATAATAACATATTCAATATATAACATAAGTTCTTAAATCATATGAAATTTTATAATGGATATTTCTTTATTCATTATCCATTAAGTAAATAATAGTTGGCTAAAAAA